CTGAATGTTACGTTTCAGTAATTGTTTTGTGAAGCAATACTTTATCATGCCTCGTGCCCTGATTTTGAAACATGTGATAGAGAAGTTAAACTTATTTAACTTAATAGACTAGATGTGAGTAGAAATAAACTTGATTTACCTCATTAAAAAGTCAGAATTCAGTCAAATTGATGTCATATTTGAGTGAAAATTTGTCAAAAATATCATATTTTTACCACTGATTACAAAAATACCGTTTTTATTTTCACATGTTATCCTATAAATATCATGCTAACTATGGAATAAAATATGATATTTTTGACAAATTTTCACTTAACCATGGCATACGGTTTTTTAGCCATGGTATACGGCACCGTATGCGATGGTTTATGAATTTTTGCTACTTCAGACTCAAAACGAGGCTAAGTGTCAACATCGCCGGATCGGTTGGAAAATTCGAAATAAATAACTTAATTTGGGACGATTCTGATGATGACTTTAACTATGGAATAAAAAGAACATCCTCTATTTATGTGATGTGAAGAGGGGGATCCCTTTGTGCTGTGCTTATGTAAAAATTTGCATTTTCCCCTTGTTTGCATTATACAGTATGTGTGACAATTGCATTATTGACTACAACATCTCAAATGACAATCACATCATAAAAACCTTAACTCAAGTGTTCGAGGAAAATTCAAGACAGACCATTCCAAAGCATCTTCTAAGAGCCCTCACTAAAATTCAATTGCATTTGCTACTGGCATAGTGCAAGAGAAACTTTTCATATGGTTAAAATGAGAAAATACGATTTCCTTTTTGAGGGTTTGTGTAAAAAAACCGGGCGACCGGGTAACCGGGTACCCGGTCGACCGGGTACCTAACGTTCCTAGCAGGGTTACCAACTTTCAGAGTTCCGCATTTCGCCCGATATATAGTAGCGAATTGACTTGACAGACTTAGCCTATCGAGTGCGCTGCTGTTCGATATTTTTACCCTATACGAGACAGAGCACTTTTTAGAATAATCGATCCAGCAAACAGTGACGTCGACGTTGCTCATAAGTAGCATATAAGTTCCTAGAAGACGTTGCACATTTTCGTTCTTTACACATCGAGGCAACGTAACATGAGACATCTATTGATGGTATAAAAAGAACGTTGTTGTAACGTGTCCGTAAAGTTCGTTAGTGTGGAAATCATAACAAACACACGATGCTCATGTCAAGCAGCGTGCCTACAAGGCACGCAGTTTGAAACTCTGACAAACTGCGCACATACTTCAAAATGTGAGACGGGGAAGACACGACTCCAAAAAAGAGCCAAAATAAGAAAAATACAAGGTTAGTCTCGTTCTAAAGATAGTACCATTCTGTGAAGATGAACTTAATTTACTCAAAGTACTCAATGTTTTTCCCGATGTAAACCTAGTTATCTCAATATAAGGGTCTTAAGTAACTTCTGTGTTCAAAATGTACAGTGTAAAGTTATATCTATGTCTTTTTATCGTCATTTGCCGTTCAATCAGCCATTGTGTCTGTGTATGCTAGAATATATAGGATCCCTCCATCTGATTAAATCAGCAAAGTTTGTGTTCAAAACGATAATACGCCATAAACGTGATTTAAACATTTTCTTGTCAAACTGCGCGCCTATCACATGTATTTCCCAAACTGCTTGCCTAACCAAGTTTGTTTTGTATTATTAGAAAACATAAGCGCCATACAAGGCACATATGTGTCTAATAGTAAAACCCCATAATTGAAACACTATGAGAGTCCATCCACCAAGATGGTGATCTGAAAATAAAAAAAAATTTCGTTCCCAACTTTATTGTCACTTCTATTATACATTTTGACTTTCAATATGAAAATCTCATAAAATCTGACGATAAAGCAAAATTTCCAAAGCTACATGAAAAACACCTACACGTGCCTCTGTAGAAATTCCAATGATAATATGTAGTTTTAATAGTGTATGCGCACAGTTTGTAATTTCTGGCTAAAATAGGCGCGCAGTTTGTGATTTATTTCTTTTTAATCTGATTATCTGTTTTATCTCGAAATATTTTGAATTATACATGATACATGTGTAAGGAATTAAATATAAAACGAGTCTAAAGTATTTGTCATTTATGTTTAAAGTGCTAGATCGATTTACGTATATACATTCCCGTTAAATCAGTGACGAAAATGCCATTAATCTGCTTATGTTTTAAAACTTACATTCATTTGCACATAGTTTTTGCTAGTATTTGCAAGATTCGTATATTCGCCACAGAATGAACGCATTGAACAAGAAAACAATGCAGGTTAAATGTCTTTAAATTACGTTTCAAAATACAGACTCCAACTTAAATGATGCAATGTTCTTAGGCACGCAGTTTGTGATTGAAACAAACTGCGCGCCTAAGTAGGCGCGCAGCTTGACATGGGCACCGTGAAACAGGAACGTTTGATTTTTTACTACATTGGTCCATATGTGACGTAACTCAAACGTTAAAATTCAACGTTGTCAAAACAGGCTTTTAATATCAAAATATTTGTTGGTGGAAAAAAACATGACAAAAACTTTGTGTTCTCACTAAGTCGGTTCATTTCCGACGTATTGTTAACGTTAAAATTTAACGTTTTTTCGATTTGAAATAACCTCAAAACGTGACGTCAATAATGACGTTCATGGACCGTGTTGATCTGACGTTATTCAAATATTCAGCAAAACGTCGATGGATGGTTGAATTTCAACATTGTCAAAGATTACATTCTTTTGAGAAAAATTCTGACCAAAATTCTTTCCCCACTAGACCTACTGTGTCCCTAGGCATCAGCATATAAAATTTTAACCGAATCCGTTAACTTGTATTTCAAACAAAAAATGCCGAAAATTCTTGTATAACGTCGTAAACTTCGAATAGGGCGTGTAACTATTGGTTCAAATGTTGCTGCGCTTTATTGTGCTATGGATTCTTCATATTTTTGTGTCATACAATGGACTATAAACAAAATATAAAAGGACAATACACAGAAAATAAATAAGTTTCATTAGAATCAGTTTTCAATGTACACAAAGGTTTGGCACGACCCCATAATCATAAGTCCAAAAAGTGTTTGTTATCTAGAAATTGAACAAATATGCCAATATAAGACAATGTATGCCAGCCTAAGGTTGAATTGACATTGGAATGTACAGTTCATTGGTAAGTATAAAGTGAAGGTTACGGCCGTCGCCTTCGCATTAAAGATGGCGGACGGGAAGTGTCGATTTCGACATTTTCATTCTTTTCTTGAACATCGAATGGAAATATCACAGGCAACTCCCCTTTTGTGAGATTAAGGCCATATAAAGTAAAAATTGTCAAAAAATCGTACAAATGTACACATCTGCTGGATATTCTCCATATCTACATCGTTAAAAGTGCACCAAAGGCGTTTTAAAAATGACAGGTGTAATTCCAAAATAAAAATCCTAAGGCGCTGTAGAATTGTTGGTGTAATCAGGATGGCGATTTTGTAAAGCGCTTTTAGCGGGTTTTCTGGTGTAATTCCAGCAAATGTTTCTCACAACCTAAACGCGAACGGAAAATATTGTGTATGGACGATTGGTCATACGTATACGTTGGCGTTCCGATTTTTTATGCAAGCTTAAACTCTCTATTATTTGGAGAAATTACAATTATGAAACCCTGCAACATTTTATAAGGTGTGTGTGTGTGGGGGGGGGGGTCATCGGCGAATTTTGTTTACAACGTTCGATTTCAATATTGTTTGTATTGTTGTAGCAACCCCTAATATAATTACCCCTTCAGAAATGTATTGGTTTTAAAAGTGTAGGTCATCAAAGGTCAAATCGAAATCAAAGTGACTAGGGGGACATTTTGTGATAAATTGTTAATTGTCTAGATCTTTCAAAGTAATATGTTTTGGTGCCAAAAATTCTATCTTTCCTAAAAGTATTATTCATTATCTTTGGCATGTCTCAAAACAAAAATCAACGTTAAAGCTTTTCAAGAACTAAACTTATGCACTTTCAAAGATAGCAGCGGGTATCACGCAAAAAATTGAAATCAATGGAACGCGCAATTGAATAATCAGAAATTTACAAGTTCAACTTGTCTTTGTCTTTAGCATTTATATTTCAAGATGTACTCCATATAGCAACAATCAGAGTGATTCAGTAAGAAAATAGATAAAGGGTTGACTTGATATTATTCCAGTATAATTTTGCTCCCGTCATGATTTTCACGTCACACGCAACCACCTAGCAACAGCATATAAATCGAATAAGTGAAATTGAAAAATCTGAAGAGAACCATTCTAATACTCATAGCATCTTTCTGCTTCCCCTGAAACATCTCAGGGCAGAGAAGAAATGATCGAGATGTCATGGTTTATCATGATGGAAGATCGGAACGGTTTTGCGAATACCTTCCAACTATCACTATGATTACTTTGCCCCTCTACTCCCAATCGTAGAACTTTGACTTTTACGCCAAAAAGGGTCATTTATTTGTGGCTAAGGCTAGAAAAATAACGGAGGCAAAACACTTGCAAAAAACTTGGATGAAGATCAAAAAGTACTATTAAAAACCCGGAGGGTCAATTTGACAATTTTAAATGCTCGGATTTGAAAAGCTTACAAAATTGTAGCATAGACTAAAATCATAAGTATTGTATAGAACAACAAAACCGATGAAATATTGTATTAAGCAACCATGATATTTTTTCAGTCGTAGAACAATCAAAGTTGAACGGTATTGTGTTGAACAATCATAGGCCGTAGGCCTAGGTATTGTGTTGAACAATCAATTGTGAAGTATTTCGATTAATAACTAAACATAACGTATTGTATTGAACAACCACAACCACATGATCTACTTTTCTGTAAACAATACACATAATTTAACAAAGAGTCACTGTGAAGAGTGAACAGAACAAATTCAACATATACAGCTCTCTTCATTTTCCCGGGAAACAACATATAGGACATTTTCGTTTAGTGTAGCATATGTCGTAATCCGGCACCAGACCGGCCATTCAGAAAGTGTTATCGTGAAACATCTGCAGTATTTATTAACCTATTGATTGCACTTTGGGGAACAAAGGCGAGATTTTGGGCAATAATTTTCTCCTTGATACCATAGACCATGTGAGCGGTTGATTTTCTCTAGAATGTCGGAAGGAAAGGTAAGAAACTTTTCCATGAAATTTTCAGATATTTTCGGATTTCGGAAATTCCATTCCATTCAAGACCAAAGAGCCCAAAGTGGAAGGTGCCGCGACCAAACCATGGGCTTTCACTTTCGAGGTGAAATTTAGTTTGTAACTTTGCCAAATTATGTCCTGTATCATCAAACATTGAGACTGGTCATTGAAAGCCCATGGACTGGCCAAAAGCATTCAGATTAGCATGTGGTTACATTTCAAGGTTACAAGTATCTGAGTGGGGTTTACTTTACTGAACACAGCTGGCTCAAAAGCCAGCTGAAGCACCGTTAGAATATACCGTCCTGTGAAGCGGTTTTCTCCAACTTCCAGCAGGCGCGCTGGAATAAGAAACGGTATTTAAGAAGATAATTGAATGTAACTTGCCCTTTTCATCACGCGTGGTGACAATAAGTCCTACTTCTTGTGTAATTGCAGTTAAAATGGAGAAATTCCAAATCTGGCGCGCACCATTTTTTAACTTTTTACGCATGCGTGCACATGCGCATTGTACTTTTATGCGCATGGGTATTACTGCTGAAAGATCACGTGACTATATCATATTTAGCTAGCGCGAGTTATTTTGTAGCAAATTTTTACTTTCGAAAGTCACGAGATCTCGCGTGACCTAAAATGGCTGGAATCTAAATTCAAAAGTTTTGTTGTCTACAAGAACATTGATTTACTACAACAACAGACTGTTGAAGGAACAAAATAAGGTAACAACAAATAAATTATGTATTGATTCAAATATATAGCGTATTATAAACGCTACTCAGTACAGCGTTTAGTCAAAATGGGCTCGATTTATTCTTTTCAAGTTCACATACATATAACTTCCCAGAGCTGACTTCTGTCAGCTCGGTAGAGTAAGGTTTACTCATTTCGTGAGCCATGTTAGATTTTGAAACTTATGGCTCTCAAACGGGGAAGTGGACAGCTGATTAATAGTGACCTTTGAAATCGAATTAAGTCGATCAGCGGCCTACTTTTGTTCTCTAACTATGTTATACATCATTATCATCCTTCTGTGCAAGTATTGGAGCGCTTAAGTTCTTCCTTTTCGATCAAGACTTGTAATTGTTAGTCGAGTGAATGTTTTTACTGCCAAATTCCAATATGGCGTTTTTTGCTCGGACATTTTCATAAATCTCCGGAGGTTGTATACCGAACCTAACTAATTCTCAAAATTCATTTCGTTCGTTGCGTATCTCGCTCCTAGCAAACCGCCATATTGGAAATAGGTCTAAAAAACATTCACTACCACTTTTTTCAAGGCCTGACTTCGTCGCTAACATGCTAAATATAAGAGTTAGCTGACGTTTGGAAGTCTGACTTACCTTCTAAAGGTTAGAACCGGAATCTTAATGAAACCATATCACCTTTGTTGCGTCGATGATGATGCATAAACATAGCATTTGATAGAAATTAGTGTAAATGCTTTTCCGACTTTTTCATTTTTCATCAATGTTGACTTCCGGGAAGGCATTGTAGTTATCACGAAATAACGCATTGACCTTTGAACTTTAGTTTGTTGACGTGTCAACCAAGCATGTCTGGTGTGAAAATTAAAAGAATATTAGCAATGTTCTACATCCGCCAAGCTAAGTGAAGTAGTCAATATTTAAAATTACCAATTTCAAGTGAAGTACGCAACGAACGAAACTGCGTGATTTACACTCCCACTATTGGTCTGAATAAAATGCTACGTAGAAATATGAGCCGTCTGCTGTATTAGTCGATTAATAGAGTAAGACCTGTTGGTGATGCTTTATAATTTAGACCAAAACATTGAAGAACAAACGAACCTGTAAATCGTGAAAACAACGAACAAATATTCGGTTTTCACAAATGTTCGGTAATTTTTCGTATTGAAACTTCCGGAACTTACAAGGAAATCATTCATTTTCTCGGTCCATTATTTACCTCTTGGATGTTGTGGCAAATGCTCCATGGTTGAGGGAACAAAGGTGATATGGTTTCATTAAGATTCGGGTTCTAACCTTTACAAGGTAAGTCAGACTCCCAAACGTCAGCCAACTCTTATATTTAGCATGTTAGCGACGAAGTCAGGCCTTGAAAAAAGTAGTAGATGAACAATTTACAAGTCTTGATCGAAAAAGAAGTATTTCAGCGCTTTAATACTTACACGGATTGATGATACTGATGTAAGACACAGTTAGAGACCAAAAGTAAGCCGCTGATCAACTTAATTCGATTTCAAAGGTCACAATCATTCAGCTGTCCAAATGCTCCGTGGGAAAGCTATTATATCACTTATTACTTTCGCAGGAAGTAAAGTGGGGTATTTTTAACTATCTGTGAGTTATTCAGTGTTTGGTAATGGTACTGATGCTTTGAAGTTATCCCATGCCAGGACTATAGTCCCGAGAATTTCTCAATATTTTGCCTGTTTCTACACCTCTTACATTTAAGATACCAACTTCAATAAATTCCTGGGTATTTTAGCAATCTTTTCATGTAGTTGAATCCACAATTATCTGGTTTTTTTGGCTGAACGAAGAAATTTTTGTTTTTGATCCAGATATTTGTGAGTAATATTTAATTTATTTCAACCATCAAATTCCTCCATTTATTGGTACTTCTGGGCCATCAAATGGGGAATCCCCTTTTAAATCCAACCGCCATCCTGAAAAGTGATGGAATCTCTCCTGTTGAAAAAGAAAAATGTTCCCGTTCTGCCGATAAACGCAGATAATTGTGGATTCAATAACATGAAAAGAATGCCAAAATACCCAGGACTCTATTGAAGTAGGTATCTTATGTGTAAGAGGCGTAGAAAATTCTTCCATGTTGTAATAGTACAGGCAAAAGATTTAGACGTTCTCAGCACTATAGTCCTGGCATGGGATAACTTTGAAGGTGGATTCTTTTTGTGTGGGTATAGTTCCTTATTGTTGTGGTCTGTGTATTAAAGTCCATATCAGTTATCGAGGTCCACAACTTACAGTCGTGGGATCATTAGATCAATGTTGCCATATTATTACCTTTAACCAGTTTTATTCCCGTTCTATACACCTAAATTACATACCTCAATACATTCTTGAACTCTAAATGATGCTATTCAGTTGATCAAACCCATTATCGTCTTGGTTTATCGGCAAGACCATGAAATCTTCGTTTTTGAAAGCAATATTTGCGTGAAATGTTAAAATAACTTCAACCGTCAGATTCCTTCATTTAGTGGTATATCCGGTCCTGGCATGCACCAGTCATAAGGGGAATCCCCTACTAAATCCAGTGGCCATTTTGAAAAGTGATGGAATATCTATCGATGAAAAAACTAATTGACCAATGTTCTACCAATTGCAACCAAGACTTATATTGGTTCTTTTGTTAGGCCTGCTTGTAAAGTCCAGACACACTGAGATATTAGATTTAGACTTCTCAAGGTCAAAAAGGTCTTTTTTTCAATGTGCTTCAAATTGCCCAATTTTTTTTCTGTTCTCAAAAGTTTAAATCTGACTTCAGATTTGAGATTTTACTTGAGATTTTTTTTTTCAAAATCATCTACTTCTCAAACGTTTAAATCTGACTTCATATTTGAGATTTTATTTGAGATTTTTATGACCTTCTCAAGGTCAAAAAACTTGCTTCAAATTGACCAATTTTTTTTCAAAATCAAATACAGAGTTCTCAGATGTGAACTAATGATATTGTGAGCAACTATGCCATGTTTCACAATTGTGTGCACGTTTCATGATCTTGTGCCAAAATGCATCTAAGTTGAATGGAACTTTCTCTCCTGGAACTTTTTAAAAAGTGAATCCCCATTGGCAAAAGTTGGCTATGGCTCTGTTCACTGTTCAAATTCGGAGATGTTCACATTTCAAGGTTATTTTAACATGAAAATCTATAGGAGGAAAAAATGAGACTGAAAAGTGTTTGGAATGGACAACATCAAGGTTCCCAGGCCCATTTTGATAGAAATAATTGGGGTGTCAATTTTTGAATGCAATGGTTAAAGCTAGTTTCGATGAACTTTTCGTGTTTTTAGCATGTTTATGTATGATAAACCCACTACAATATAATGTTCTATTTAGAATTTTATGCACTAAATTCTTTATGTACATTAAAAGATAATTATTTATGTTTAGTAATTGTGAAAGAGGGTTAGACAGAAAGCCTGGCTTTATCAAGTCTTTCTCTTGAGAAAGTACATTGCAGTGGCGTAGCCAGGATTTGTCAGGGGGGGGTTCTAATATTTTCTGCCAAATTTGCCAAATGTGCTTAAATTTTGCCAAATTTGCTTTAATTTTGCCAAATTTGCTTAAATTTTGCCAAATTTGCTTAAATTTTGCCAAATTTGCTTAAATTTTGTGAAATTTGTTTCAATTTTACCAAATTTGCTTAAATCTTGCCAAATTTGCTTAAATTTTGCCAAATTTGCTTAAATTTTGCCAAATTTGCTTAAATTTTGCCAAATTTGCTTAAATTTTGCCAAATTTGCTGTATGTTTGCCAATTTACCTCAATTTTGCCAAATTTGCTTAAATTTTGCAAAGTTTTCTTAATTTTGGTCTAATTTAATTAATTTTTGACAAGTTTCTAAATTTTACTTAAATTTTGCAAATTTTACTAAATGCCAATAATGGATAAATTTTGCCAAAGTTTCATTGTTGCCAAATTTTCATAATTTTTGCCCATTCGCTAAAATTTAAAATTTTACCAAATTTTCTCAAGTTTACAAAATCTCAAACAGTTGCAAAAGCAAAAAATAAGTAAAATATCCCAAGACCAAGTTCATTTATTTGGGCAGATTTTTTTTAATTTGGACCCAACATACCACAAATTCACAGAAATTAGCAGACATAGAACCCCCTGCCCCTCCCCCCAATTTTAAATCGCTTGTACAACGAGCTTTATAAAAAAAATAGGAGCCAAAAATCAGTAAACAACTCTGTGTGAGTGATCTTTATACTTGCTCTCTGATCTAACTACAGCATGAAAAAATAAGAACGTTGTAAGTAAGAATTTTCTAGCGTTCACAATTTTGGTGCATCACGGCCCAGTGTCACAACAAAATTCTCTGCAGATTTATATCAAAAATTAGACCATTTTGACGTTATGTACAACAATCAGATAATTTCAACTTGGTAGGTATGCTTTGTTTGTGCATTTGAATTCATTTTGAAGATATTACTTCAGTATTTCAGGCCTAAAGTGCAAAGAGCATACCTATTATCGCCCATTATTGATTAGAAGTTTTTTGTTTTTCTGTTTTTTTTAATCTTTTTTACTCAAAATGAAGCTATAAATCTCACATATTTCCATCTTGACATATAACTCAATTGTCTTCGGGTAATCAAAATCGATAAATCATTGAAAGACTGCAAAAATTTTACTCAAAGTTTGGAGGTTTGCATAATTGCCAGAAAGGGTGGGTTCGAATTTTTTTAGGCAAGATTTGGGGGGGGGGGGGGGTTCGCACGAGCCCTACGAACCCCCTCTCCCTACGGCCCTGCATTGCACAGCTTGAAGTCATATGAAGTGCTGTGAGTGTCTTTTAACTATTAAAATGTGAAAGTACACATGCTTTGACAAAATTCAGTGATCAGCTCTCCCCAGTATTAGAGCATGCAACGGAGTGCTGTACATTGTTGATTATCTGAAACATTGCATACCACCCTGTTGAAAATGTGAAACATTGTATACCACCTTGTTAAAAAATGTGAAACATTGCATACCACCCTGTAGAAAATATGAAACATTGCATACCACCCTGTGGAAAATGTGAATTATCACCTGTTGAAAATGTGAAACATTGCATACCACCCTGTTGAAAATGTGAAACATTGCATACCACCTTGTTAAAAAATGTGAAAAATTGCATACCACCCTGTAGAAAATGCAAAACATTGCATACCACCCTGTTGAAATGTGAAACATTGCATACCACCTTGTTAAAAAATGTGAAACATTGCATACCACCCTGTTGAAAATGTGAAACATTGCATACCACCATGTTAAAAATGTAAAACATTGCATACCATCCTGTAGAAATGTGAAACACTGCATACCACCCTGTTGAAAGTATGAATCATTACCTGTTGAAAATGTGAAACATTGCATACCACCCTGTTGAAAATGTAAAACATTGCATACCACCTTGTTAAAAAATGTCAAAGCATTGCATACCTCTGTAGAAAATGCGAAACATTGCATACCACCCTGTAGAAAATGTGAAACATTGCATACCACCCTGTTGAAAGTGTGATACATTGGATATCACACTGTTGAATATCATACTAGCATCATCATTACCAGGAGTACAGTGCATTTACCAAATCAAAATGCTTATGAACTCATAGACATAGACATGTGATAAAATCATCATCACATGTTTCAGCTTATGTGATACACAAAATATTCCTCTGGGTTGACAATGTATCAACCACTCAAGCTTCAGTTTCGTGATAGTGTTACCTTTTGTGGAATATTTCCTCATCACATGCTGAAACGTGTGATGACTTACAATACAGTATAAACCTGCTTGAACGCTACTCTACATGTATATAATAATAGTGAACTAAAAGATAAAATACAGATAAAATGATCAGGTTTCAGTACTATGTTGAGAAAAATCCATTTATTACAAAAAACAAACTCATTTCTAGAAAAACTCTGCAAATATAACTCCACCTATCATCCATTTAAGACGTTATGATCTGGTTTAAAACCGTAAAATCAACTGTATTAAAGAGTAAGAGGGTGTTCGGCATGCGATGCATTTATTACAACGAACAAACTCATTTCTAGAAAAATCCTGCAAATATGACTGAACCTATCATCCACTTGAGATGTTATGATCTGCTTCAAAACTGAGAATCAAAACTGTAAAAGCAACAGTAATTGTAAAAGAATATAATGTTCTTCCGCATTCAGGCAATTAATACAATCATTAAACTGTTACCGAAAGGAAGTACAAAGTGCAATCAAACATCTCTAATTAATATTAATACCCTTTGCCAGATCAATGGATTGATCTTACACTCTTAAAATTGCTGAAAATCCAATTAACTCCACGAGCCAATCAAAGTCAGTCCTCTTTCTAAATTGCTCCTTGGTGTATTTTGATGGGTTGGTCTTCAATGCAACCTCATCAACCTAAATCTGTCTCAGATCCTAGTATATTATATAGAGTCTGAATAAGAGAAGCAGTCCTATAGCCAGGTTTTGCCAAGGGGGGTTCACTTTTCAGAAATTTCCAGAGGGGTTCACATTTGATAATTTTGGCCCAAAATTGGCTAAAATCACTTGAAAAGTGCTCTAAATGGTGAAAAACTGCATGATTTTGAAAGAAATTTTGGCGAGGGGGATTCACTCAAACCCCAACCCCCCCTGGATCCGGGCCTCAGAAATACCTGTACATGTTGTTATGGTCTTTTTGGTATAACACTGTAAAATGATGTGTTCTAATCAGAGGCTTACTAATCATCTCAGAGTATTTATAATAACCTTCTGCCATACATGAATCAGATTATAATCATATTAATTATTATTGTTAAGTGGAGGAAAGGGTTGTTTCCTTATGATTAGCATTATATGTTTTTTAACCATAGGCCAATGAAAACTAAGAAGTAAGCTCAAAATAGAAGATCACAGGCGCACAACTTCAATGGGAAATTTTTCCAACACCATTTTGTCTTGACATGAGTTCTCCTTACTTGTAGATTGAATTGTATCCTCAAATATCTCCAGAATCTTCTCAAACAAAGTGTTGTTTAAACAGGTCTATGTAATTGATTATTCCACAGTAATCATCTCTCAAGTTTGTGTAAAATTCTCATTTTCTCAATTCAGACCAAAATTGGCTTAAATATGCCAATATTCATGATTTTTCTCATTTTCAAGTGGGTGCAAATGAATTTTCAGATGGGTGCAAGGCTGTTTTCAAAATCTCAGGTGGGTGCTCGCCCACTTGGTTTAATGCTAGGGAGATCATTGATATTCTGCATCTTCCTAGCAAGTTGAAACTTGGGGATAAATAGACTCTTGTGACTGTAAAATTTTCTCAGTTATGAAATCATTTATTTTTATTTTTAGTTGGTTATGATGATCTCATAAGACCATCTCTGAAAGAGAATTCAAAGTTGAAATAGATTTATGATGACCTGATGTTTTCAGAGCATTTATTCTATTCAGTTGAATTCTATTAAATTAAGAATCGCTTTACATCAAAAGTTGAATAAACATATTTTAAATATCTGTTTAACAAATTGAATGACTTGCAACATTGAACTCCTTTTAAATGCCATCATAAAATTGAGTTATTCGTTGCTTCTCTTTTCCATTCTTAGAATAAAAAACATTGTAAGTTTGTTCTATTTTAAAAGTTAGGTCAAGTGTATGTTTATGTTTTCCTCCTTTCAATATGAGGGGCTAGTCTGTAGTCTGTATGATAAGGAAAAAAGTTATCACTGAAATTTGAAGTTGATATATGAAACCATGATGGCTATATTTTGAAAATAGAGTGGAAAAGAGTGAAATCAGGTAGAAATAAAGTAAACAGGCATGTAGTTAGCCATCTTTGTTGTATAGATGAAATACAAGAAAATCAGACACTTTATTTTAGAGAGAAAAAGGTTATTGTTCATTCAAATTTTAGAGAGAAAGGATGGAAAAAGTGGCTGACTGACATTTTCAGCCAAAATTAAGTTGTCATGGCAACCCTAACTCAACAAGAGCTTTATGTTACATGGAGTTTATAGCTAAATAAATGTTTATTTATATTACATGTATATACTACTAGTTTACTTTTTTTACTTGCAGGTCTGAACTTAAAGTGCATTAAAGTAACTGAATCTCATCCAGCTTTGTCTACACATCACTGTGTTCACCAAATACATGCCTGCATAATTAAGTACAATCAAACAATGACTTTGAGAATATGATGAAATCCTATGAAAGGAATGGAAAGACAGGAAATTACTGAGGGGCTCAAGCACTTGGATTTAACTGATAAAAACAAGCAAACGTTTGCACAATATGGTGAAATTTCATGATCAAAAACAGGAAATTGCTCAACTACAGAGTAACAACTTTCAATCTTAAAATCAACCAGATGTTTTCACAGTGAATTAATTACAGCATTAACGATCAAGAGACATGTGTAATCAACAATGACTTGCACATAAAGAAATTAGCATTTAGTCACTAGAGAATACAAATTTAGCTTCACATAATTATTCATAGTGAACAAGTTCTACATTAACACATACAGTGATTTGCATTAACAAGTTACAAGGATTTTACCGATCTGGAATTTAACAGGTGATTTTTGAGAACACTAGATCTGACCAGGTACAGCTGTATTCAGCTGTAACTCAGATTTTTGTATAGTCAGAATCTCAATTTATATACATCTATATAATATATAGACTTTTCAAAATACTAGATATGGCAGACCAAAAACCAACCACAGATGGAACAAAGGAGTCTGAATCTGAAACAGGAGCAGAATCAAATAATACAGCTGATATGAAGGAGAAAGAATCTATGGACGATACAATGGATGATACAGGAAAACTTAATGAAGGAGGACTTGGTAGCAATAATGACACCAGTGATGATACATCCACTGATTTGGGAACTGATAAGGATGCAAAAACTGTTACCAAAGATACTGAACATGTTGATAAGGATGCTGGACCCATTAACAAGGATAAGGATACAGAACATGTTACCAAAGATACAGAAGATGACACCAAGGATACTGAACATGTTGATAGGGATACAGAACATGTTACCAAGCCAACAGAACAAGTAACCAAAGATAATGACATTGATACCAACGTAACAGAAACTGAGGATAAAAATGAAGAACCAGCTATTATAGATGTAGAGCCTGTTGACAAAGAAACACAACCTCTTACGCAAGACAATTCCAAGACAGAGAACATTGAAAAAGAAAACGTAGAATCTGATGACATGCCTGAAATACTGTGAGTATTAGATACAATGTTATTCTATACTTTCAAAAACTAGTTAATAGAAAAAATTGTTTCAGCTGTAACCTGCTATTATAGGCAAATCAAAAAAATGCGACTGACCAAAAGACATGTGCAGTAAATCTGAAGACCTCTCTTTGAAAAGCTCTCAATATGAATACTTTCCTCAGTCCCCATTTGTTATCACCCAAAGACTCACATATAAAAAAACCTTGAAATGTAAACACCTGCTAATCCAACACTTTTGGTCAGTCATATTGATATTCATTTCAGATAAGACAGGTTTTACATCACCTAGAATTCTGTATTCCAGATTTGAAATTAAAAATCAAAAGTGAAACAGCCAATTCGAACACTTTTAGCAAGTCCCAATTGTGTTAGGATAATGCTGTGGTCATATTTGCTCAAATTTTTACTACGGCGCCCGGCCGATTGCCGATTGAGTATTTTGTTCAAAATTATATTCAATTATGAACAAAATACTCATCGGCTGGGCGCCATTGCTGAAAATTGGAGCAAATGTGACCACGGCATAATTCAGGTTTTATTGTATGCATTTGAGATGTTAAGATCAGCATTGTCTAATGTTACAGGGACACCACTGTAGAGTTTGAACCAAGGCTTCCAAGATCTCGATGGATGAAGTACAGAAAACCATTAAAAAGGGTTTTCCCATTTAGAACAAAGAAAGTGTAAGTTAACCCTTTGAAAGAGCTTGCCAATGTGTTTTAACTCTTTAAATAAGAGATGATTCATTAATCTAGTCTTCATCAAATCAGAACCAAGAAAGTGTAAGTTAACCCTTTGTAAGAGCTTGCCAATGTGTTTAAACTCTTTAAATAAGAGATAATTAATTGATCTAGTCTTCATCCAATCAACCAAGAAAGTGTAAGTTATCCCTTTATTAGAGCTCCACTATGTGTTTAAACTTTTTAAATAAGAGCAAATTCTTTATTTTCGTATCGTGTTATCAGTATATAAATCAAAGTTGCCATTCATTTCATGTTTATTCACTCCATGTCTAGCTATAGCCTTAAAATAACAAGTCTAATTTACATACATGTTTAATAGGCCTGTCAGATAGAGGGGATGTTTTGTTTGGGGGGGGGGGTTGCTTTGGGGGTCGCAGATGCAGCCCCTTCATGATTCTCTCGAAAAATCACCTGAGAAATAATGGCATATCCAGTAAAATATTGAGAAACTGCACCGCCCTTTGGGAAAAGTATCTGACAGGGCTGTTTTATTCATCAATACCCGCCCCCCATCTGATAAGCCTGAAAATTTACATTATTTGTTCTATTCTTTTAGGCCTAAAGAAAAATTCCCCATGGAGGATGTTGGCCTATTTTCATATATGTTTATCAACTATCTCACGCCACTAATGATCAAAATCTACAAAGCAAAAGAGCCGCTAAACGAACTATGGGCACCCATGCCCTCATTAAGTGCAGAAGTCACTGGCGAAAGGTAAGGCAAAAGTATTCAGGTATATATGTCCAATATTTGAATGGGTCTTGAATATGTCAAATTGCTTAAGTAGGGATGTCATGGGTCATGGGACAAAAAAATTTGGGCAGGACAGGATGGGAATTATCCATTTAGGGATGTGACGTGACATGGGTATTAAAGAAATATGTCAGTCTTCAATCATTCACCAAAGCTAAGTCCTAAGGGAAATAACTCAGCTAAAGCAGACAATGGCCTCCATGAGATCATCCTAAGCAGGTATCCAGAATCCGTACCTCCTTCTTCCCCCTGCTATAAACCAATTTGGAAGCGCCCGATTAAACTGAATCAAGTGATCTAATTATGCGCAATGACTTAATACATGATTTCTGTCGCAGTTTTGTGACAGCCAATCAGATTACGAGTTCTTAATCGGGGAAATGCTAACTGCTTATCGCAGGGGGTAAAAAGAAAGAATATATTCTTGATTTTGAAGCCCTGTCATTGGAGGATGCCGTGAGATAGGCTTAGTTAAATGACTATAAACTGTGGTGTTGTAATTGGGGTTAAACTAACATAGATGAAGAATCGTGAAAGGTTGTCTTTAGTATTGTTTCAACTTTCAGAATGCAGAGAGAGTGGGATAAGGAACTGGCATCAAAAGGCCAGGATAAGGCATCATTGTTTCGTGCCATGATGCGATCCGTCCAGACACGTATCTACATCGTCATTGTCATACTCTGTGTTCTTATTGTGTTCTCATTCGTTGGACCCGTAAGTATTTCCACATGGTCTTTATTAATTATAGAAATGTGTTTCCATGCACACACTTACCTGAGAATTTGAAATGAGCCTTGCTCTCAATTATAATCAATTTGCACTCATTTTAAACCCATTTGTGCTTATTCGAAAACCCATTTACACTCATTTTAAACCCATTTGTACTCATTTTGAAACCCATTTACACTCATTTTAAAACCCAATTGCGCTGTCTGATTCGAAAACCCATTTACACTCAATTTGCACCAACTTGCTAACCAGCTGAATTTTACCACCAAGTTAAAGGTGCTCACAAGTTTAATGGTTAGTTAAAGAATGTGCCTGGGATGATGGCAAATTAGGTCAACTTTTCAACGAGGTCAAGGATCAAGACTGGGCCAAATCTTTTTTTTATAATCTTTTTTATCAATCTTTTTATTAACCTTTTCAGGCAGTACTGGTAAGATTGATCTTGGAGTATGTACAGTTGAATTTAACTGATGTGAAATATGGCGTAATGTTGATTGTGCTGCTCTTCGTAAATGAAGTTGGTCGGACTTTAATGTTCGCTATCTATTGGCATTTCCTATACGAGATGGGTAAGTAGAACTTTTAGAGGCTTTACTGTAGATTGCAAATCTCACTGAAGTCTCGTTTTAATGAGATTTTAAGAGATTTGCATATTTTACCACTAAGGTCTTCCAATTTCTCCTATTTGACGACATATTTGAATTCTGTACATAATTTTCTACCACCTGGACTGTACTTTGGTTTATACAGTTCAGTGACACCTGTAAAGTGGAACACCTCTGTTAGTGGAACACTTCAGAGTCCCAAGACCAATTGACTTAATGTTAAATGAACCTCTGTAAGTGGAACACCTCCAAAGTGGAACTTTTTACAGTCCCAAGACTGTCTGATTTAATGTTAAATGAACATCTATAAGTGGAACACCCCTGTCCCAAGACCAACTGACTTAATGTTAAATGAATCTCTATAAGAGGAACATTTCAATCTCCATTTGATTCACATGTCAAGAAATCTTGAAAAGTGAACACCTGCTAATCTTAACACTTTTAACCATTCCAAGTGATGTTTGGATTAGGCAGGTTTTACTGTATGTTTTAGATCTACTGTAATTTTACTGTATATTTTTCCAGGTACAAAAGTAAGAAGCGGGAGTCTTACTCTCTTGTACAACAAACTTCTACGATTGTCCAGTCTCAAGCATAAATCAGTTGGAGAGGTATGTATGTTTGTCTTGAATGTCAACACATTGGGTTACCATAGTAACCATATTTTTGAGCAGTCAAAACGTTAAATGTTAAATCTTGAGGTTAAACTTCAATTAAGGTTTGGGAACATCTATACAAAGTTTCAAGAAGAGTTGTTCAGTAATATTAAATGGTGACATCTTTGATCTTTATTCTTATGACTATGTTTTTTGGCTCACTCAGTGAGCCTATGGGATCGACCAGGCGTCCGTCCGTCTGTTGGTCCGTCCGGATTAAACAACAGACTGGAGAAAAATCTTCAGCAAAGAACAGAAGATGATGTAATAAACAACGATTTTGATAACAAACGGAAGAAGAAAAACAAAAGGCCAAAGGGAAACCACCGTAAAGAAAAGGCATTAAAAGCCAATGACGTATTTGAAACTATAGTGGAACAAAGCAATGGAAATGTACTGGCAGGTATGAAAACAATCTTAGGATTAGTCCCACAAATGAAGAAGACAGAATTGAAAAAACTTGGAATGATAAATATAGAAGATAATGATAGACTACACACACGACTTAAAATTACTCTGGAGGACAGAATCCAATCAAAACTTAGGAAAAACAATGAACTAAAGACCAAGAATAGGAAAAAGAAACCAACAAAATTCTGTAAAATACTATTTGAAAACAAAGCAGTAGAAGTAATCAACATTGCAAATATCTTAAGAGATGAAGAAGTGATCAAGACAATACCTTCAAGTATCAAAAATAAGGAACCACCAGGAATATACACAAAGCCAATAAGGAATAAATTGTTCAACTATAGTGAGATTACAGAAAGTATCGACGAAGGCAACAATACAGGAGAATGTGATTGTAATACATCTGAATTTAAGGATGAAGACCATGGTCACATCATAACAGGAAATCTGAAGATTATACAAAATTCAAAATTGAGAAAGCTATTTAGTAAAGATCCTGGCTATAGAGAAAAACGAAACATTAACTTCAGGAAAGCCAAAGAAGAAATAAAGAAAGGAATAGATGAATATGCAATAAGTTGGACAAAAAATGAAAAAGTTTCAAAAGTATACTTAAATGAATGGAAAAATACTGTAATGGAAAAGGTTAAACAAAAGATTGAGTTACTTCAAAATACCAAATTTAGACATATAAAAAGTCCAAAGCAGACACTAAAGGACCATAATGCTATGGAAGAACTCAATCAACTCAAGGAAAAATATGCCATTGTACCTATTGATAAGGCAGCAAATAATATTGGGTTTATGTGCAAACAATACTACATAAAGAAGATTAAAGAGGAAATTGGAAGTGACACCTATCAAAGGATAGGAGATAAAGGAGAAGAAGATATAGTGGAGGAAATCAAAGAGACAATGAAAACAAAATTCAAGATTGAACCGGGAGAAGAACAAAATATTATACCAAGGATTCATCTTACAATTAAAATGCATAAACAGCCAATTAAATTTAGATATAATCATTGGCTCAAAGAAAAGTTCTGTAAAACCAGCTGCCAAAAAACTGACCAAAATTCTTAAACTAGTGCAATATACTAACAAAAGAAACTGTGAGAAGATTAAGGATTATACAGGTGCCAATAGGATGTGGATCAGTGACAATAACCAAAATATGTTAGATAACATTAAAAGTGTAAATTTAAGGAACGGGGCAAGAAACAAAGCCTCGTATGATTTCTCTACACTATACACCAAGATTAATCTAACTGACATAAAGGAAAAACTGAAATGGGTGATAGATAAACCCTTCAGAGGAGGAACTAACCAAAAGATAACAGTAGGTGGAGATGAAGCCAAATGGGGTGGAAAGGCAGATAATAAAAAGGCATATACCAAAGGAGAGTACAATGATCTAGTGGATTTCATCGTGGATACAGCCTACTTTAAAGCAGGGAAATCAATTCTAAGACAGAAAATTGGAATACCGATGGGAATCGATCCGGCGCCATATATGGCAAACCTATACTTATACAGTTATGAATTTCAAGCCATTGAGAAAATGTATAGGGAAGACTACTCCAAAGTACTAAAATATGCTAAAACTACAAGATTCATCGATGATTTATGTACTATAAACAACGACGGAGAAATGGAGACTGATATGAAGAACATCTATCCTGAAGAACTAGTGTTAAACAAGGCAAATGAGAAGGATACAGAAACAACTTTTCTGGACATACAAATGAAAATAGTAAATAAACAAATCACTACAAAACTATACGACAAAAGGGAAAACTTCAATTTCCAAATAGTCTCATATCCTGATCTATCTGGAAATATTCCTAGAAACCAGTCTTATGGAATATTTATATCACAAATAATAAGGATTTCAAGAATCTGCAGTCAACTGGAAGATGCAACAAACAGAGTTACCAGCCTGGGAAATAAACTACAATGTCAAGGCTACAGGAGCAACATACTAAATTCGTATACTAAGAAAGCTATAACAAGAAATAAATGGATATGTACTAAATACAATATGCAGGAGAATATCATCATGAAGCACTGGAAAATTAACGAGAGAAGAGAACATTAACAAATGAATATGAAACAGTATATTCTCCGCAAAGAGGGTAAACTAAGAGGACAAATCTACATAAGACCAACAGTAAGGGGAAGGGGAGAGTTTTCCGGCCGGATCAAAACGTTTAACCCACCTATGCGCAGTCTCAAGTCTGTGGACCCTGAAGAAAGATAACTAACATCGCAATCAAATCAAGACAAAGAAAGAAGAAAATAAATGAAGAAACCAATGCAGCAAAAACAAATGACGTTTGTTGGTCCTTATGATTAAAAAACTTCCTTTTCTCATTTTTCTTCGATAAGAAAATACATTTGCTCCAGAAATGAAGTATGTGTATTTTGAGACAAGTTAAGTGATGGTGTCCACGTATAAAACAGTCATGGAAAAACAAAGTTAATTTTGTTCTGACCCCCTTGTGAAAGAATGGTCCCCTTTCTTAACAGCCCTTTCTGACCCTGATTTGCATATAAGATAATAAGGGAAAGGGGTCACCATATAAATCAATGAAGAGTAGGACCATAATTTGATAGGACCTCCTACCCTTTTACACCCTCCTTAAAATGTTTATTTGCCTATTTTCAAGTGTATATTAAAAACACTTTTTAACCATAATTTACCCTCCCCCCACATTTCAAGTGAATATTAAAAACACTATTTAACCATAATTTACCCCCCCCCACATTTCAAGTGAATATTAAAAACACTATTTAACCATAATTTACCCTCCCCCCACATTTCAAGTGAATATTAAAAACACTATTTAACCATAATTTACCCTCCCCCCACATTTCAAGTGAATATTAAAAACACTATTTAACCATAATTTACCCTCCCACCACTAATAAAACGAACATTTGCACTCATTTGAAAACCCTTTGCACTCATTTGAAACCCATTTGCTTTCCAGGTTGTCAACATATATTCAAGTGACGGCCAGAGATTGTTTGATATGATGTCAGTGTCGCCACCTTTGTTTATGGGACCAATCATGTTGATCATGGCCACAGTATACGCAACAATGTTTATAGGGCCTTGGGCACTCATGGGTATAGCAACATACCTCCTTTATTATCCAATACAGGTAAGGACCTCCTTTGTTTTTTGGCTCACATTGTTATTGGATCAGATAGATATTTATCTTTCCATTGTTGATCTGTTAATGCATCAACTTTAATGGATCTATATAGAATGGTTATACTGAGTTCTGACTGGTCATGCATTGCTTTTTATGTCCCCACCACATAGTGTGGGGCCATATTGTCGGCCTAGGCGCGTCCGTCCGTCTGTCTGTCCGTCTGTCCGTCTGTCTGTCCGTCTGTCCGTACGTCCGGCAGTTTTCTCCAAAACCGCTACAGATATCACCTTCAAATTTTCAGGGATAACTTATGAGTGCATACAGATGTGGATGAAAAAAAATTAACTCGATACCTACTTCCTGTCGGCCATTTTGAAGTCAAATGCTAAAATCCTTGTCTGCAAACTTTAAGAAAAACTGCTTCACAGTTGCTTTTAAAACTTTAACATCTTGTTCAACTCACTTCATTCTAGATCTGATTAGGTTTTGGACCTGCTAGCTCAGTCATGTCAGCCATTTTGAATGTCTTAAGAAAAGTTAGCGCGCGATAATACTTTGTATCATATTGAATGGTGTTTTTGAGTTTTCATACTTTAACTATTTAGTAGCTTTATAAATAATTTCAGATGTACTTTGCTGTAAAAGCCTACTTTATTGTTAACAGTAGTTATATGTGATAATTTTGTAAAAAGAAATCAGCAAAAACTCATAAGGACTTTTTTATTGTCGGCCATTTTGGATTTTTCGGTCCTAAAATCTTGTCTGTGAAGTCTTGTCTGCGCGTTTTCAGGTGAACCGTTTGGTGGATCAATTTCAAATTTTCAGGGATGATTCTTAGTATAAAAATCTAGATCTCATTAGTTTTTTGGCATTCTGGGTAAATGTCAAGGCAGCCATTTTGGATTTTCCGTCCTAAAATCTTGTCTGTAAAGTCTTGTCTACTCGTTTTCAGGTGAACCGTTTCGTAGATCAATTTCAAATTTTCAGGAATGATTCTTAGTATGAAAATCTAGAACTGATTAGTTTTTTTGCATTCTGGGTAAATGTCAAGGCAGCCATTTTGGATTTTCCGTCTTAAAATCTTGCCTGTAAAGTCTTGTCTACGCGTTTTTAGGAGAACGGTTTGATAGATCAATTTCAAATTTTCAGGGATGATTCTTTGTATGAAAATCTACATCTGATTACTTTTTTTTTTTGCATTCTGCGTAAATGTTAAGGCAGCCATTTTGGATTTTCTGTCCTAAAATCTTGTCTGTAAAGTCTTGTCTACCCGTTTTCAGGTGAACCGTTTGGTAGATCAATTTCATATTTTCAGGGATGATTCTTAGTATGAAAATCTACAAACAGATTAGTTTTTTGACATTCTGGGTAAATGTCAAGGCAGCCATTTTGGATTTTCCATCCTGAAATCTTGTCTGTAAAGTCTTGTTTACATGTTTTCTGGTTAACTGTGTGACGGATCAATTTCAAATTTTCAGGGGTGGTTCTAAGTATGAAAATCTAGAACTGACTAAATTTTTGGCATTCTGGGTAAATTTTAAGGTGGCCACTTTGGATTTTCCGTCCTCAAATTGTGTTGGTAAAGTCTTGTCTACTCATTTTCAGGATAACCATTTCACAGGATCACCACTTGGTGGGGACATTTTGTACACATTTGTGTTCTTGTTGTAAATCTATTATCCACCTCGGGAGTATGAGGCAAATTTACAAATGTCAGCCATCTTGGAATTTCCAGACAAGGACTTATCTCTCATGTGATAACTCGTATTTATTTAATGAATCCATTGAATATTTAACATGGTATCCTGTCGTATATTGTAATACAACATAATATTCACAATAACAATACATTTTATTATATCACTATCTAGCTAGCGACAGTATGATTGGTCAAAACCGGGTCACATGTCGTGGGATATCTGGCGATATTCAATGGCAATGCTAATCAGATAAGACAACCGTGAGATATCTAGCGATATCCCACGCTCACGGGAATTTTCAAAGAATTTGTTTTCGTTCAGTGTATATAATTTAGTTCAGTGTAAGTCAAAATGGCAGACGAACCGAGTAGAATATATGTATTTCAATGTTAACCTATGACTTAATAATATTAGGGATGTTCGGGCTTCGTGGAATATCACTTGTGAAAGATGTACAGGTATTCACCTCAATAGAGTGAAATATTTGTTCAATATTTGAACAAATACAGTAAAAACTGTCTTAGTGAACACCTGTCTCTAGTGGACACTGGACACCCTTCCTTCAAACATACAGTACTTGCAAAAAATTGTTCGATATACAGCAGGTTTTACTGTCAATGTCTATATCATAGTATTATATAATAACAAAATACCACATGTTTTATTTTAGATTATGATTGCAAAGAAGCTTGCCAAGTTAAGGATCAGCACAGCTCACGTTACAGATAAAAGGGTAAGAAATTATCCTAAGAGACAGTGTCCCTTTAAATAATACATCTTCACTTGTTGATAAAATCGAGAAGGAGTTCTTTTAAATGATATATAAAATAGAATTAGGGTGCTTTAAAAAATATAAAAAAAAGTTCGTCTCCCTTTAAACTGTTCATAAAACTAGAGACAATACTAATGTTTTATTGAGTAAATTTATTGAAATAAAAGTTGTGCTCCTTTAAATTCACATTACATTATTTTACTTGCACTTATAGTCTTTTGCCTGCACTTATATCCTTTTATTTGTACTAACATTATTTTACTGGTACTTATATCCTTTTACTTGGACTTACATTATTTTACTTGTACTTATACCCTTTTACTTGGACTTACATTATTTTACTTGTACTTATACCCTTTTACTTGTACTTACATTATTCTACTTGTACTTATACCCTTTTACTTGTACTTACATTATTCTACATGTACTTATACCCTTTTACTTGCACTTATATTATTTTACTTGTACTTATAGGTGAGACTGATCAGTGAAGTGTTCACATGTATTAAGCTGATAAAGATGTACGCATGGGAGGAGTCCTTTCACAAAAATATACATGGTCAGTTATAGTATAAATGAATTGTTGTATTGTTGTAAAATTGTAAGGGAGAACCAGAAAAAGATATTATAAAATTGTGACAAATTTTTGAAAATTCTTTCAACTCTGTCTTCTTTATTCCCTGGTGGTTTCACATTTTTGGCATATTTCCATTTAAAGCGCAACCAATTGAAGCCCTTTACCAGGTCTAATGTCTGTATTTTATGCAATTTCTCTTTAAAATTTGAATAAAGTGTCTGATTTTTTTGCATTTCTGTACAGTTTAGAGTGTTGACTACATGCCTCTTTACTTTATTCCTTTCTGATTTCACTAATTTCTCTCTAAAATTTGAATGAACTGTCTGATTTTCTTGCATTTCTGTACACTGAGTGTTGATTACACGTCTGTTTGGTTTATTCCTTGCTAATTCCACTCTTTTTCACTCTATTTTGCATTTTAAAACATATACCATCATGCTTTAACTTTATTTTCTGTCTGTTACAGAGAGACGAGCGACTGAGAGGAGAATCTTAGAGAAATCTGGTTACTTGATGAACGCAAATGCAAGTGGGTCACCCATCGTGGCCATAATGTCTGGTGTTGTGGCAATTATGGGACATACATTATCTGGCAATGATATAAGTCCGGCACAGGTACTATATTTAAAGTATTACACAATGCACTTTTCTGTGTAGTTTTGTGTCTGTCTGCATGGCAATATGTGTTTTGTACAATATGTATCTAAAATCTCAAAGAACTGCTTAATTTTTTGACATTTCCATACAATTAAGAATGGTGACTTCATGTTTGTTTGATTTATTCCTTGCTGATTCCACTAATTTCTCTGGAAAATTTGAATGAATTGTATGATTTTCTGTTATTTCCATACAATTTAAAATTGTTGACAACATGATTGTTTGGTTTATTCCTTGCTGATTTTACTCGTTTCCACTCTATTTTGCATTTTGAAATATAACCATCCAAATATGGATAACTTATGCTCATTTTATCAAGTACTTGGATAATGTTGTAGATATGATTGTCATTGGTGTAATTTGTCGAGGAATGTTCAAAAAGTATCACAAATATTGTACAAATGAAAAACATAATCACAAGTGCACATCAAGTAGAAGCATGTACAATTTCTTTTTTAATATATTCTGTTTTATTTATTTACATTCCTAAAAATGAATCAATTCTCAAATATAATTACTGGTCATTTTGTATTTGTATCTTTCAGGCATTCACGCTTCTGTCCATATTTGCATCTTTCCGGTTTGCCATGGGAATCATGCCATACTCCGTAAAATGTTTGGCAGAGGGAATAATCGCCTCAAAGAGGGTGCAGGTTAGTTGTGTTGTTATAACATTTAGCCTCTGGGATACAACAGGAAACCCCTGAATTCCACACAATTGCATCGAAAGCAGACATTATTCATTGTCCCACATAATTTTGCAAAATTGTTTAATTTCAAGATGTTAAAATGTCTAGAATATCCATGGTAAAATTATCACTCATTTTGGAACCAATAATGCTAATAGCCCTCAACAATTATGTACTCCATTTAATAGTTTATTATGTCACCACCAAAAAGTGGTGAAATATCGTTATTGTCTCCGTTTTTTTACAGCAGTTGGCGATCAGCATCTGTAACAAATTCTTCAACTTCCAATAACTTAACAAATACTGTTTAGACTGACTCCAATTTTTTTCAAAATCATCTACATGTTTTCAGAAGTTCAAATCTGACTTTATATTGAAGATTTGACCTTCAATGACTGTTTCAAGGTCAAAAAAGGTTTCAAAAAGGTTGCTTCAAATTGAACAATTTTTTTCAAAATCATCTACATGTATTCAGAAGTTCAAATCTGACTTTATTATGTCACCACCAAAAGTGGTGACATATTGTTATGGTCTCCGTTTTTTATGTCACCACCAAAAGTGGTGACATATTGTTATGGTCTCCGTTTTTTTGCGACGGCGTCCGGCGGTTGGTGGTTGGCGTCCGGCGGTTGGCGTCCGGCGTCTGTAACAATTTCTTACAACTTCCTATAACTTAACAAATACTGTTTAGACTGACTTCAATTTTTTTCTAAATCATCTACATGTTCTCAGAAGTTCAAATCTGACTTTAGATTTGACATTTGACCTTCAATGACCTTCTCAAGGTCAAAAAGGTCTTTTTTCAACTTGCTTCACATTGACTAAATTTTTTTTCAAAATCATCTACATGTTCTCAGAAATTCAAATCTGACTTTAGATTTGACATTTGACCTTCAAATCTGACTTTAGATTTGACATTTGACCTTCAATGACCTTCTCAAGGTCAAAAAAGGTCAAAAAGGTCTGTTTTCAACTTGCTTCAAATTGACTAAATTTTTTTTTCAAAATCATCTACGTGTTCTCAGAAATTCAAATCTGACTTAAGATTTGACATTTGACCTTCAATGACCTTCTCAAGGTCAAAAAAGGTCAAAAAGGTCTGTTTTCAACTTGCTTCAAATTGACTAAATTTTTTTTTCAAAATCATCTACATGTTCTCAGAAATTCAAATCTGACTTTAGATTTGACATTTGACCTTCAATGACCTTCTCAAGGTCAAAAAAGGTCAAAAAGGTCTTTTCAACTTACTTCAAATTGACTAAATTTTTTTTTCAAAATCATCTACGTGTTCCCAGAAATTCAAATCTGACTTAAGATTTGACATTTGACCTTCAATGACCTTCTCAAGGTCAAAAAAGGTCAAAAAGGTCTGTTTTCAACTTGCTTCAAATTGACTAAAAATTTTTTTCAAAATCATCTACGTGTTCTCAGAAATTCAAATCTGACTTTAGATTTGACTTAAGATTTGACATTTGACCTTCAATGACCTTCTCAAAGTCAAAAAAGGTCAAAAAGTTCTTTTTTCAACTTGCTTCAAATTGACTAAATTTTTTTTTCAAAATCATCTACATGTTCTCAGAAATTCAAATCTGACTTTAGATTTGACATTTGACCTTCAATGACCTTCTCAATGTCAAAAAAGGTCAAAAAGGTATTTTTTCATCTTGCTTCAAATTGACTAAATTTTTTTTCAAAATCATCTACATGTTCTCAGAAATTCAAATATGACTTTAGATTAGACATTTGACCTTCAATGACCTTCTCAAGATAAAAAAAAGGTCAAAAAGGTCTTTTTTCAACTTGCTTCAAATTGACTAATTTTTTTTTTCAAAATCATCTACATGTTCTCAGAAATTCAAATCTGACTTTAGATTTGACATTTGACCTTTAATGACCTTTTCAAGGTCAAAAAAGGTCAATAAGGTCTTTTTTCAACTTGCTTCAAATTGACTAAATTTTTTTTTCAAAATCATCTACATGTTCTCAGAAATTCAAATCTGACTTTAGATTTGACATTTGACCTTCAATGACCTTCTCAATGTCAAAAAAGGTCAAAAAGGTATTTTTTCATCTTGCTTCAAATTGACTTAATTTTTTTTCAAAAATCATCTACTTGTTCTCAGAAATTCAAATCTGACTTTAGATTTGACATTTGACCTTCAATGACCTTCTCAAGGTCAAAAAAGGTCAAAAAGGTCTTTTTTCAACTTGCTTCAAATTGACTAATTTTTTTTTTCAAAATCATCTACATGTTCTCAGAAATTCAAATCTGACTTTAGATTTTACATTTGACCTTTAATGACCTTCTCAAGGTCAAAAAAAAAGGTCAAAAAGGTCTGTTTTCAACTTGCTTCAAATTGACCAAATTTTTTTTTCAAAATCATCTTCATCTTTTCAGAAGTTCAAATTTGACTTAACAAGTTATCAGAAATTCAAATCTGACTTAAGTTTGAACTCATAATATTGTGAGCAACTAGGTGGTGACATTTTGTCATGTTAATGCCTTGTATTGAAGATTTGACCTTCAATGACTGTTTCAAGGTCAAAAAAGGTTTCAAAAAGGTTGCTTCAAAATGAACATTTTTTTTCAAAATCATCTACACTTTCTCAACAGTTCAAATCTGATTAACGATTTGACCTTCAATGACATTCTCAAGGTCAAAAAGATCTTTTTTCATCTTGCTTCAAATTGAACAATTTTTTTTCAAAATCATCAGCACCTTCTCAACAGTTCAAATCTGATTAAAGATTTGACCTTCAATGACATTCTCAAGGTCAACAAAGGTCTTTTTTAACTTGCTGCAAATTGACCTTTTTTTTTAATCATCTACAAGTTCTCAGAAATTCAAATTTGACTTAAGATTGAACTCATAATATTGTGAGCAACTAGGTGGTGACATTTTGTCATGTTAATGCTTTGTTATGCAAATTAAAACAATAAAAAATTATTTGAATTATAGAGTGTGTTAGAAATAGAAGAAGATGAGCCACAACTCACTACTGTTGACTCCCAGTCTAATGCCCTTGAAATAAAGGATGCCACACTTGCATGGGAAATTCATGATACTTTCAATGAGAAGGATGGCAAACCAGAAAAAGCTGTAAAGCGTAAGAGTGGAAAGAATAATAGAGGTTTGTCTCAATTATTTTAATTCATTTTATTACTCTGAGTAACATATTTCTTTGCGGGGAGGGGGATAAGAATATGTGAGTTTCTTACTTGAGGATCTGAAATCTTCTACCAGGTGTGTCAAGTTTGGGTGAAGTGGAAGACATGATGAGGTTTGCTTGAATTTTTAGCTTTTTAGATTGATATATTATTCATACAATAATTTAAGAGATGTACTAGTGTATCAGTATCTACCATGAGTCTCTATCTCAACTTGCCAGATTTTAAAATTTTTGCTGGGTTCTCTATAAATAAAACAAAATGTTTGACCAAAATTTTGCAGTGTATATAACTAAATGATGATTTCAGGGGCTAGAACAATTTAACTTATTTTTGAAAGGAGATTTAACCCTTATCCTCCTGATTTAAAATGGTGGAAATTTCAGTTTTGAAATTTGTATTGATTGAGAATACCAACAAAAACTTACTTTTCACCTTATTCCTTCACTATACCATATGGGTTACTTCAACAGCTTTAGTTGCATTATGAAATTTTTTTTATTTTATGAAGAGTTCTAGTGTGCCATAATAACTTTCATAATGGTATCAAGAAATGTTCATTTTAATAACACTTTGTCAAATCTATATAAGGGGGTGGCAGGAGGCCGAGGATAAGGGTTTAGAAAATATGATGATAATTGAATTTTTCAAAATTTTGTCCTAATGCATATCAAATTGATTATTTTTCAGGTTCGATTGTCAATGGGAGTGTGAAATCAAAGGAAGCAGCAACTGGTGCAGATATCGCCAATCAGACCACTGAGGAGCTCCTTAAAGGAAACAACCATAATACAACCATTGACACAACCATTGATGAAGGAAGTACAACCATGGACATGGACACAGGAAGGAACCTGTCTGAGACATTAACTGACATTAATATGATCCTTCCAAAGGTAAATCCACTTTGAAAGATCTTAACTTTATCTTCACTCTTTAATTTAGAAATAACGTTTTGGCTGGATGAAATATTTTCAAGGCCAATCAAGAATAAACAATATTGGACTTGTTCTCATGCAAAATTCCCTTTTTATAAGTGGTACTCCCTTTATAGAAGCTTTGAACTGAATGTACCTTCTTAACGCTAAAATTGATAGTTTATCCATACATGCATTTTTTTGTATGAAGCATTGTCTGAATTTAAACTCAAGAGAGAGCTCAATAAATGTATAATGTTTGCTATTCAGGGCCAGCTGATAGGTGTTTGTGGTGCCGTGGGTTGTGGAAAAAGTTCACTAATTGCCAGTATTCTAGGCCAGGTAAGAAAACCCAATTTGAGCCAGGACTCATATAGATGGCAGTTAACAACTAGGTTGTTCTTCACATCTGGCCCATTGGTTTATGTGTAAATATTGCTGTTTTAAAACTTCAAATTCACTACATATATCAAACAAATATCATATTTTCCTTCATTATTATTTACAAACATGTTTTAAGATTCAAAATCATAAGGTTTTGGATATTTTCAATAACATTTATTTTGGGAGATTTTTCGAGCAACTTTTACATGTTAAAAGTATGCTATTAAACCCACTGAATTTTATGCCATCTATTGGCAGTCCTGAAGGCCATTTCTATCATTTCAAGCTCTTAAAGGGTGACGCATATCGTTTAGCAAATCGAACGCTCGTTTCTGGTGTTGCTCACCGTTTAGTATAAAAGGCCCGATCCCGGAATAATACTCAAGGGTTCACAGGTTTGAGGTCGTTGTGTCAACACCTCTAACTGTTATATAGCATATGTATATTATAGATCGTCACACATTTATTAAAGGGTGATTTTTATTTTGACAAATCAATTCCACATTTATGGGCGAAGTTTCAGGATCATCTATTTGTGTATAATAAGGAAAAATTGGCATCTAAATTTCCCCATAACGTAATAGCACACAGCTTGGCATATGAAATATCCTACAAATGAAGCAAAGCAAGACAAACCAGTTTCTAATGCAAGGATTTATATTGGCTGTTGTACATGTATTCTTTGAACGCAATCACTCTTTGGATAACGTTTTCAAAATCATTATAAACGGATTACTTTATCTCAAAGACAATTTCAATAAACTGGATTTTACAGAACTCCCCTTATTTCTTAAAAATGGACTGATCCAGTTGATTCGCCTAGAGCCACCATATTGTTTTTATACGGGATGCTAATCGGAACCCTTTAAGGCTCTTTTCTACAGTGTGGTTTCTTAGCTATTATTCCTCCTAATGACTTCTTCCAAGCAATGAGCAGCAGGAATTGATAATTAAGATTTTTCATTAAGTCAGTCAATCTGGATTTAAATGTACCTATGATCGGAATATGTTTCAATAACATGTGTTTACAGTATACTCAGCGGCACACTTTGAAAATGTGATATATGAAACTTTTTTCAGATATCAACAAGTTGTTTTTGAAGGAGTTTTTGTTAAAGAAAAATTTCTAAGAGTGCAGCTTCCAATAATGAGATATAATGTTTGTTTATTGAAGAAGTTGTTTTTGAAGGACTTTTTGTTGAGAAGATTTCTAATTCATTTGAAGAGTGCGGCTTCATCATATTTGGTCCAATAATAAGTTATAATGTTTGTTTATTGTAGATGCGCATCACATCAGGGACGATAGGTGTAAATGGAGATATTGCGTATGTGCCACAACAAGCTTGGATTCTAAATGCTACAGTAAAAGAAAACATCACATTTGGTCTAGAGATGGACGAAGAAAAGTAAGTATTCTCTACAATCATTGATGATACAAGTGGGAACTGCATTCATAGAAAAATCATAAAAATTGGGTAATTTTTAGCAACTTTGACCAGAATTGAGAAGTAGGGACTGTATCTAGTTGAAGATGATTTGCTCTTACTTGATAATGAGAAATTTCATAACAATTTGCTTATTTTGAGCAATTTTGTTCAGAATTGTGAAATTTCGGAAAAACACAGTTTCAAAGGATAATGTTTTGAAATGCAGAAAGAGTGAAAAAGAGCAGTATCAGAAATATAGAAATGTCCAAATTCATAAAAATGACAGAAATGTTGATTTGGGATTTAATAAATGGGGTGAGCAAATTTTTTTTTATTTTTTCAAACTTCCAGCTCGTTTCTCTCCTTCTCTTCTCTTTATCCAATCATAGCTCTACATTGATTCTGTCTACTTACATGTAGGTACGAAGGCGTCATATCAGCATGTGGACTTGATACGGACTTGGAGCAAATGCCTTCTGGTGATCAAACTGAAGTAAGATTTTTACCATGGAAATGAAAATATGAAAGATTTTGTTCCTTTACTTGATATAGAAAGAGCTTTTACTAATATAAAATGTAAAGAAGTAATGAACCAGAACATCCAAATAAGCATTAATCAAATTCCAATGCTTCGAAATCCTAAAACCATGCATCATTATCACAATTTGTTGAATTTTTAGAAAAAATGGATACTTACACCCTGTAATAAAACCCTTCAATATGTGTTGTTACAGATAGGAGAGAGAGGGATTAACCTATCAGGAGGGCAAAAACAAAGAGTGAGCTTAGCAAGGGCAGTATACAGTGATAAAGAGATATATCTACTTGATGACCCTCTTTCAGCTGTAGATAGTCACGTTGGACTTCACCTTTTCAACCATTGTATTAAAGAGGCCCTCCAGGGAAAATCAATTGTGTTCGTTACACATCAATTGCAGGTGAGTTCCCATTGGAATACTTCTACATCTATTCAACCATTGTATAAAAAAGCCCTCCAGAGAAAATCAATTGTGTTCGTTTTTAGAAAAAATGGATACTTACACTCTTTCAGCTGTAGATAGTCACGTTGGACTTCATCTTTTCAATCATTGTATTAAAGAGGCCCTCCAGGGAAAATCAATTGTGTTTGTTACACATCAGTTGCAGGTGAGCTCCCATTGGAATACTTCTACACTTTTTCAACCATTGTATTAAAGAGGCCCTCCAGGGAAAATCAATTGTGTTCGTTACACATCAGTTGCAGGTGAGTTCCCATTGGAATACTTCTACATCTTTTCAACCATTGTATTAAAGAGGCCCTCCAGGGAAAATCAATTGTGTTTGTTACACATCAGTTGCAGGTGAGTTCCCATTGGAATACTTCTACATCTTTTCAACCATTATATTAAAGAGGCCCTCCAGGGAAAATCAATCGTGTGTGTAACACATCAGTTGCAGGTGAGTCCCATTGGAATACTTCTACATCTTTTCAACCATTGTATTAAAGACGCCCTCAAGGGAAAATCAATTGTGTTCCTTACACATCAGTTACAGGTGAGTTCCCATTGGAATACTTCTACATCTTTTCAACCATTGTATAAAAGAGGCCCTCCAGGGAAAATCAATTGTGTTCGTTACACATCAGTTGCAGGTGAGTTCCCATTGGAATACTTCTACATCTTTTCAACCATTGTATTAAAGAGGCCCTCCAGGGAAAATCAATTGTGTTTGTTACACATCAGTTACAGGTGAGTTCCCATTGGAATACTTCTACATCTTTTCAACCATTGTATTAAAGAGGCCCTCCAGGGAAAATCAATTGTGTTTGTAACACATCAGTTGCAGGTGAGTTCCCATTGGAATACTTCTACATCTTTTCAACCATTGTATAAAGAGGCCCTCCAGGGAAAATCAATTGTGTTCGTTACACATCAGTTGCAGGTGAGTTCCCATTGGAATACTTCTACATCTTTTCAACCATTGTATTAAACCATTGGAATACTCGCATGGTGGTCTTGTTTTAGAATTAGAGTGCAAAAGAGTGGAACTATGTAATATGAAGGTCTGAAATAAACGGACATTTAGTTGACACACTTAATTGTATAGATATGGCAGCAAAAAAAACAGTCAGTGTGGTTTTCTTTTGAAATAAAAAATGTTCAGTGTGGCCATTTTTAATTTTCCTTCACGTCAGGAATTAGAGCCTTGGTGGTTCGTGGTTTTTACATCAACAATTTTCACTTCTTAGCAATACAATTCTATCCCACAAGGAAAGCTCTAGAGCCTGGCACATTGCATAATTTGTGTCTAGATTTGCACATGTTCATATTTCACGGATTTTTTGACATGGAAGTCTGGCATATAAGTAAAGTGCGATCAAAAATGTGTTATATTTTGTGTTAAAATATTTTCAGTATTTGAGCCACCAACCCAGGACTATGTGATGAAGAAAAGAAGCCATGATACATTGCAACATTTTTGCCATTTTTGGCTTAACCATATTTGGTATTATAAATATTTTCAGTATTTAAACCAATATAATCATATCTATGTGATGAAGAATGAGAAGATAATAGAAACATTTCACCATATTTGGCCATATGTGCATATTTGGTGTTTTTAATGTTTTCAGTATTTAAGCCAATGTAATCATATCTATGTGATGAAGAATGAGAAGATCATAGAAACATTTTACCATATTTGGCCATATGTGCATATTTGGTATTATTTATATTTTCAGTATTTAAGCCAATGCAATCAGATCTATGTGATGAAGAATGAGAAGATCATAGAAACATTTTACTATATTTGGCCATATGTGCATATTTGGTGTTTTTGATATTTTCAGTATTTAAACCAATGTAATCATATCTATGTGATGAAAAATGGAAAGATCGTAGAAACATTTTACCATATTTGGCCATATGTGCATATTTGGTGTTTTTAATGTTTTCAGTATTTAAGCCAATGTAATCATATCTATGTGATGAAGAATGAGAAGATCATAGAAACATTTTACCATATTTGGCCATATGTGCATATTTGGTATTATTTATATTTTCAGTATTTAAGCCAATGCAATCAGATCTATGTGATGAAGAATGAGAAGATCATAGAAACATTTTACTATATTTGGCCATATGTGCATATTTGGTGTTTTTGATATTTTCAGTATTTAAACCAATATAATCATATCTATGTGATGAAGAATGAGAAGATAATAGAAACATTTCACCATATTTGGCCATATGTGCATATTTGGTGTTTTTAATGTTTTCAGTATTTAAGCCAATGTAATCATATCTATGTGATGAAGAATGAGAAGATCATAGAAACATTTTACCATATTTGGCCATATGTGCATATTTGGTATTATTTATATTTTCAGTATTTAAGCCAATGCAATCAGATCTATGTGATGAAGAATGAGAAGATCATAGAAACATTTTACTATATTTGGCCATATGTGCATATTTGGTGTTTTTGATATTTTCAGTATTTAAACCAATGTAATCATATCTATGTGATGAAAAATGGAAAGATCGTAGAAACATTTTACCATATTTGGCCATATGTGCATATTTGGTGTTTTTAATGTTTTCAGTATTTAAGCCAATGTAATCATATCTATGTGATGAAGAATGGAGAGATAGTAGAAACATTTTACCATATTTGGCCATATGTGCATGTTTGATGTTTTTAATGTTTTCAGTATTTAAGCCAATGCAATCAGATCTATGTGATGAAAAATGGGAAGATAGTAGAAATATTTTACCATATTTGGCCATATGTGTATTTTTGGTGTTTTTAATAATTTCAGTATTTAAGTCAATGCAATCAGATCTATGTGATGAAAAATGGGAAGACAGTAAAAACATTTTACCATATTTGGCCATATGAGCATATTTGGTATTATTAATATTTTCAGTATTTAAGCCAATGCAATCAAATCTATGTGATGAAAAATGGAAAGATCGTAGAAATGGGAACTCACAATACTTTGTTAAAGAATACCAGTGGAGAGTACTCCGGCCTAATGCAGAAATACCACAAAGAAGAAAAAAAGCATGGTAAGTTTTATTCCAAGAAATTGTCATCTGCTTTTGGTTGTCATATCTTTCTAGAATTTGAATGAACTGCTTGATTTTTTCTTGGTATTTTTATACAATTTAGAGCTTTAACTACATGCTTGTTTACTTTATTTCTTGCTAATTTCACTCTTTTCCACTCTATTTTGCATTTTAAAACATGACCACCTTGTCATTTTCTTAAACCTTATACACTACCAACAAAAAAACATTGTCCACTATTTAAAAACATGCACAAATTAAAAGTACATATATTAAAGTCCTGTAGACTACATGCTATTGCTATATCATTTTAAAAATGAATAAATGAATTTTTTATTTTTTGTTATTAATGTCATTATAATGCAAACAGACTGTTTTGACCTCAGACTCTATGCTTGAAATTTTTCTGACTTAAGCTAATTTCACTCTGTTTCTCTTTAAAATTTGAATGAACTGCTTGATTTTCTTGTATTTTTATACAATTTAGAGCTTTAACTACATGCTTGTTTACTTTATTTCTTGCTGATTCCTCTCCTTTTACATTATTTTCCATTTTTTGAACTTCCTCCAAATTTTTGAAATCAGAAATAAAGTCTGATGGAGGGGTGAGCAATAAGTAATGGAAAACATGCTTTGAATTTAAATTAAATTGTATAAAATTCAGGAAAGTCTGGCAGCTTTTTCAAAACTATGTAAGAAAAGAGGTTTATATTCCTTCAAAAATAGCATTTCAATCATATGCTCTTTTATATATGTGTGTATCAGCTTTTATAAGAATTAAGAGTTTCAAACTAACAATTCAAAACAGTAACTATAATCATGTAATATGGCATATATATTTTGTATGTATCTAGTGCTATAAATCTCCTCCCAGTGTGCAATAGTTATGATAGTTATGATTTCCAATGTGGCAGTCTTCAAAGAGTTAATTACGGAGGAGGGTTAAATCTTTTGCTTGGCCTATTATATGTACATGTATATGCCTGTTACTGCTTTTATTTTTATGTCACCACAAGAAGTGGTGACATATTGTTATAGTCTCCAATTTTTGGGATGGTTGGTTGGTGTTAGGCATTCAGTGGTTAATGTTCGGGTTGATGTCTGTAATAAATGGCAGGTGGTGACATTTTGCATGTTAATGCCTTGCTAATAATGCTTTCCAGTTTTAATGCTCTAGGAACCTGGAGAGAATTACCCATAATGCTCTGTGTGCAAAGATCAGACTTTAAAGAAACACACTACTGAAAGTCACTAAAAGTCTGAATTTAAATAATAATAATTTGATATTAATGTTAAAAAAACAAAGTGGAAAAATAGAGTTTGTGTTTCTTCGATCTTTCTATGCAAAAGATTATGGGAAATTCTAAAGTTGTACAAAATTCAAAAATATTTTCATTTGTTTATAGCTGAAGCAGAGGAAGGTAACAACAATTCAGTAAAATTTCACAATACATGTAGTTTCATCTCACAAAATTGTCATGTCACTTAGAGATAGAGTCCAATTATCAAGAGTTATGGAATATCGAAGTTAGTTTTGTTAGGGGGGGGGGATAAATGATGGTTTCCTTAGGGAATAATGTTGATTTGTAATATCCAAGTGAAAGACAAATCAACATTTTGAGGGTAAGAGGGGGGGGGGGTCAAACCATAATTTCCATGGTTGATGATAATTGGACCCCACCACAGAAGACGAAACATAACACCTCTAAACATGTTTCTCTTATGGGAGATTGGGTTATCTTTTAGAGCCTATTCTGTATTTATGTATATCCATTAATATGATTTAATGTGTTATGGGGGCCTTAAGAGGGAGATTAAGCTACATTTTTTAAGAGAATCTGTATGTGACCATATATAATTTTGGTCCTTAAGGGACCTTCTTTCATTCTTCTAACCCTATGAAGTATAAAGGTATATTGAAAAATTGTAATGAGGTCCCTTAAAAACAATTTAGAAGGGGACATTGTTATACCTGGGGGTTCTGTAATATTACATCTTCATGGACAGATTCAAAATGTGTAGCTTAAGTTCCTTAATACTTTAACTTAATGATTCACCCCACCCCTCCCCTCTTCTGATTGAATGGTTTATAGAAATAGTAGTTAAACGTTTTGTGTTGATTGTTATAATAAATCATTCTTATTATTGCCGTATTGTTATTCTGTTGTACAGGAAGTGGGAACCTGTTAAGTTTTGAGTCGCAAATCAGTACATGATTAAAATTCGAAAGATTGCGCAAATAAAACTTATAAAATCCGATTGCACTTAACAAAAAAGTGGGGGAAACCTCTCTTTTGCTTGATTTCGGGGAACACACTCATTAGATGTTGAAAAAAAAAATTTGGGACTCGTTCAATATATACACAACATTTTTCTGGAAGTTCTTAATATTCTTGATCTATTGTTTTAAGGTAGTTCTGCACTGTCTCAAAAAATTGAAAAAGTTTTATACCATAGCATATTAATATCCACATACCAGATTGTGAAAAATATAACCCATCTCATTGATTAATGGCGATTATAATAGAAGAAATAAAATGAATGATGCTTCTTATTGGACAGATCTACTCTTAACCTCTTTCCAAGAATGATCTTAATTTATAATTCACATGTTTTGAGCACCAATAGTCAATGGGACATCTTTTTTATCTTCACATATAGGATATCTTATATTTAATAGGATATCAGTTTTATCTTAACCATTTCCTTTTTGTGTGTTGTCAAATTCTAGTTAATCCAATGCAGTCATGATTTTAATACTGTATGATAATGATTTTAATATTGGTTGTTTGTGAATCACTACACCATCAACATTGGCTGAATATTGTTAAGAACTTTTTCACAAAAGGATATTATTGATTTGCATGCTAGAATCCGTACCTGTTAATTTGTTTATGGCTTCAGATGTATTTTAGCTTTATTAAAATTGTGCATAAAAATTATAAATGATAAAGAGTAAATTTGAGATTATAGAGATAAGTTGTAACTAAAGTAAGAAAATTACACCTTAATATTATACCATTCCATATCATATTCTAACAATATTATTTCTTATGATAAAACAGGACAATAAAACCTGAATGCCACTGAGGCCAGCCAGAAGTGTTCAGATTTTGAGGTATTTTAACATTATTTAAAGTCTAGGCAGATTGGACTGAACAAAGTGTTCACATTTAGAGGTGTTCATATGTACAATTTTACTGTATTCATTTTACTGAATTGATTTTGAATGTTTTTGTTTCAGTTGAAGATGAGGAAGAAAAGAAGGAAAGAAAAAGATTGAAAACTTTACGTTCAATGATCAGTCAAGAATCTGTGCCAATGGATGAGGGAAAAGGTAAGGATTGAGAACTCTACGTTCTATGATAAGTCAAGAATCTGCCAATGGATGAAGGGAAAGGTAAGGATTGAAAACTCTACATTCAATGATAAGTCAAGAATCTGTGCCAATGGATGAGGGGAAAGGTAAGAATTGAAAACTCTACATTCTCTGTCCCAATGGATGAGGGGAAAGGTAAGGATTGAAAACTCTACGTTCAATGATAAGTCAAGAATCTGTGCCAACGAAAGACGGAAAAGGTAAAGATTGAAAACTCTACGTTCAATGATAAGTCAAGAATTTGTGCCAACGAAAGACGGAAAAGGTAAGGATTGAAAACTCTATGTTCAATGATAAGTCAAGAATCTGTGCCAATAGATGAGGGGAAAGGTAAGAATCGAAAACTCTACGTTCAATGATAAGTCAAGAATTTGTGCCAATGGATGAGGGGAAACCAAATAATTTACCCAGCATTAATCAGATCTTGGCTCTTGGCTGCTCTCGCATCTGTAAACTTTAATTGCAAGTGGGTTCAGATTGATAGGTGTTCAGATTTGATAGGTGTTCAGATTGATAGGTGTTCAGATTTGAGAGGTGTTCGGATATGCAGGTTTCACTGTACAAGAAATTATTCATGCTAAATTTTAAATTTCATATTTATACATTACAGGTAAACTTATAGTCTCTGAAGAAAAGAAGAGGGGAAGCGTCCCTGCTAGCGTTTATGCTGGCTACATCCGGGCAGGGGGTGGCTTTATCCTTGCTGCCATGGTGATCTTAGGGCATGCTATTTGCGTGGCCTGTGGAATCTTCAGTAATTGGTGGTTGAGTTATTGGTTGAAGCAAGGAAGTGGAGGTCTAAGGATACCCATAACGCCAAATATGGTAAGTCATACCAAATATGGAAAGGGATACCAAATATGATAAACTGTAGTAAATATTGGAAGGTATTTTCACCCAGTTTTTGAAAGAGAGCTGGAGATATGTAATTTAAATTTAATAGAATCTAATTTTGTTTTTTGAACTATGTATTAACAATAATGTGTGAATTTTGACAAAAATGTTAAGACTATTCCAATTTCTTTAATATTTTTAATTTAATTTTATTTAATATCTTTAATTTCTTTTATATTCTACCTTAACTGCATAAACTATTGTCTAGTAACTATTATCAATGAACTATTGTCTTTCAGACATATGCAATAGAAGGCCCAGACATAGTGCCATTGAACACAAGTGCCACAGAGGGCAACTTTAATCTAACAAACTATTATCTTTCAGACATATGCAATAGAAGGCCCGGACATAGTGCCATTGAACACAAGTGCCACAGAGGGCAACTATAATCTAACAAACCAAAATGTGCCACTAAACTACACTATTGATATGAACATTGCGCACAATCCAAGACTTTGGTTTTTCAACCTTGTGTATGGGATGTCCATAGTTGCGTTTATTCTATTTGCATTCATGAAGGGATATGCACATGTAAAGGTACGTTTTTGGACATATGAATTTTCATTTTCTCCATGAATGAAGTGAATTTCTGAAATGTTAATTTCGATTTATTAGATTATCTAAACACGTTTAGGTTAACCTCTCTTACTACTACTCATAAATGCAATAGTATTTAAAATCTGTACTTTTGATCTGTCCTTCAAGCAGCCAGTACTACTATACCCATTTCAATGTATTTTTGCCAGTTCTCTGTAGCCTTATGAGTATACAACTCATGTGCATTATATTATATATCTTTACTTGTAGTTTGTCCTTCGAGCAGCCAGTAGTACCCATGACCGTGTATTATTACGAGTGCTTCGTAGTCCAATGAGTTTTTTTGACATGAACCCAACAGGACGTATCATCAACAGATTCAGCGGAGACATGGACCTAAGTTAGTATAATGATCATTCTATTTTATAAACATGGAAAAAAGAGATTTTTTATACTTAATAGAGAGATTTCGCACATAAGTGAAAGTACAACTTATACGTATACGTATACTTTAAAGGGTCGTGTCGAACTATTATATTTACTAAAATCAATTTTAAATTGTACTTAATGGAACATAACTATTCCCGTTATAGAAAAGGTCCACCAACTAGAGACTGTGAATGCACTGTCATCTGCACGTGTAGATTATGCACATTATAATTAAATGCTTGCTTCCATGTCCTTGTAGTTGTAGTGTATTATAAACACGATCCTTTAAAGTGAGTCATGATTCTTTACAGTGAGTCATTACGTAAACAAGTTGATTATTTCAATGTTTTCACGATCAGTATAAGTTCAATGAACTTACAAAACGGTATATTTACGTAGATGATAACGTATACAGTTGGATCTCCGTATAAAGATTTGCCTACATGTGTGTGGAACAATTGACCGCAAGCATTTTTAAAAATTAATTGGCTGAGTGGTAACAGTATCCAATCAAATACTTTAACCATCAATTTGAAACACCAATCAAACCAGTAGGTTCTAGCAATTCCTGGAAACGACCCATTCAGTAGCTCAACAAATGACATACAGGGTGTTTCATAACGAGCATCTCCAAAAAGTCAATTTGAGAAGAGATGGGTCTATAACATATGTACTATATATGAGTCTATTTTATTCTAGACAAACTTATTTGGATCAACTAAACATGCTACCATTCAAGAAAGTAAAAATGGCATCCCTTTGACCTGTATTTATTACAGTCCGAGAAGATCTTTCCTGACGAAATGCCCACATTATGAAACACCTTGTACGTTTACCTATAAGTATAAGTATACGTTATAAGTTGTACTTTCACGAGGTGTGAAATCTCTCTAATGAATGATCCTTGTATGATTAGTTTTTGGTAATGGTTGTCAGAAATCCGAAAGACCACCTTATTTGAAATGAAAATATCACTAATCACTCATGAAAGATTGAAAGTCATTTTGTATTTAAATATTGTTAAAGGGGGTCATTATTTCAAGTCATTTTATTTGCCCCTCTCCCCTGATTCTTGGTTATGATGGCAACCAATTCTAAATAAATACATCTGTAAGGCTAAATTTTTCGCTTGATCTTTTTGTCGTTGTGAGCTGTACACTTTGCAGAAATTTCATTAGTATTCATTGAAAAATAAAATGAGTAGAGAGACATTAATTAAGGATGAGCTATTAACCCTTTTAATTGAAGTATGCCTAGATTACTGTTTCAAGTGTTATTGCTTGTTGTTTTTATATTTTACAGTACTGGCACTTACTTGAATATACTGCTATGAGATCTCAATCTCTAATACTGTTTCAGTTTTATCCTGGTGCTTCCATTGTAACTTCGTTGGAGGTGTTTCACAATATAGTCTATTAGATGCATCCATTATATGATCATAGTCTACACTCTCCATGTCTCTTATTAAATAGTGTAGTATATCAGTCTCAGAAACATTGCTGATGAATGTTGGACCCACTAGTTTTTCCCACCAGCTACAGTCCCTGGCATCTCTCACGTATTGTATGAATGTTGGACCTACTAGTCTCTCCCACCAGCCACAATCACTGGTATGTCTCACATGTTGTATCATCCAAAGTAACATTGCAGGGGTGGAAAGTGAGGATTTATCATAAAGTCTGATCTTCCTCTGTGGATAGATTATGTCTGGTATTTCCCTGGCAGAAAGAGTTGCTTGTATCCTTAATATATTCTGATGATAATCAATTGTATCAGTGTCATAACACATGTACTTCACAGCCTCCATGAAACATTCCCCTACGTGAGTAGACTGGCACTGCTGCTGGTGGTGCAACAGTAATGTTCTCAGAGCATAAGATGAAGGAGGACTGTATCCTTCAATATGCATGTTTTCAAGTAAATGAACTCCATACTTGAATAGCAACAAAAGTTGATGATGGGGATGTGTTAGTTGGTGAATGTTGTCATCGGGAGGATCTACAACAGATTCCATCCAATGACCCACTGGGCAATGTCTATGTTCATACTCTTTAATAACCAGGACACTTCTCCCCAATTTGTGTTCAATCTGCTCTAAACAGAAGCAGAGATCAATATCAACAGTACACAATGGTCCACCAACACGTAGCCAAATACTTGGCCCATGTAGCTCATTATGTATACTTATTTCACCCTGGTTGTACTCAAGAGTGGTATCTTCTTTATGATCTCCATATCTACTTCTAAACTTGACATCACTCATGTTCCTAAGAGTTTTCACTACATTGCTCAGTAGCAAAGATTTAACAAGATCTACTTGAATATAGCTGTCACTTTCATGCTCCTTCATGCAATTATCAGGTAGGGGATGTTTGAGAGAATCGCACTTGATTTTGATGTAATAGTACCCCTCTCTGGTTAACCAGCACTCCTCACTAACATCCTTCACCTCAATTACTTTACTATCAAACATAGCTAGAATTGCAAGGAAATCATACTCATTAGGCTCTACTATCTTAGTTCCATCATAGTAGCTTCCTCTGCGCATGATCTCATTCACTATCAAGGCTGGATCTTTTATACCAATAGCTTTACATATGGATTGAACAAGTTTTTCAACATAAGATGTCTGGAGTTCAAGTTCTTCAGTAGTGTATCTATTCCTAATGTCAACATGGTGTGAGACATAGTTCACAAAATCTGTTAGTCTCTGCATCTCATCTGTTGAATTGCTGGGTGTTGGGATGTACATGTATTTTCGAATAGTTTCTGCCACTTTGATAATTCTTTCAGCTGCCTCTGTTATATCATTGACCGCACAGGGATAATTGACTGCCTCATTTATCTGTTTAGTTTCTTGAAGAATGTCCTGTTTTGACTGAGAATATTTTGTAGATGAAATAACCTTGTCCAAAGGATAAGGTCCAGAAAATATTGGTAGTTTTCCTGCATCCCGTATTGCATACGCCATTTTTTCTATTGTGAATGAATACATCTTTAAACTTTGAGCTTTAACGAACATGAGAGTGCGTTTAATTACAAAATAAATTAAGTTTTAATTAGAATAATTTTAATTATTAATAGACAAATGAAATTTCTTTTGATTGATCAGTCAATAATGAGAAAAATCTCACGGTGGTCATGTTTGAAAATGTAAAAGGTATAGAAATACAAGAAATTTTAAGCAAGGAATAAAGTAAACATGCATGTAGTCAACACTCTAAATTGTAAAGAAATGCAAGAAAATCAGACACTTCATTCAAATTTTAGAGAGAATTATACTTCTTAGATATCATGTTAACTATTAATAGACAAGTGACATTTCTTTTAATCAGTCAATAATTAACTATTATTGAAGTAAATATCATGGTAAAAATGTTTTAAAATGCAAATTAGAGTGAAAATAGCAAGGAATAAAGTAAACAGATGTGCAGTCAACACTTTAAATTACATGGAAATGCAAAAAAATCAGACACTTTATTCAAATTTTAGAAAGAAATAACACAGAATAGGCATGACTAAAGAGAGAATGTCAAAAGAGTAATTCTTTTAATATAAAATAAAGTGGAAAAGAGAGGAATCAGCAAGGAATAAAATAACCAAATTTGTTTCTAAATAGTCACTCTTGATTGTATAGAAAGTAAAAAAAAAAGTTAGTTCATTCTTTAAAATATCAGTGGAATGAGGTTAAGTTTACAAGGAAAGATAAATGATAACACATCTTACATCAAGAGCACCAAAACACAAATTCAATAAACAAATAGAAAGATACCCTGGCATAAATGATGAATAAAAGTACATAATGTTAATTCATTTCATTAAAGTTGTAAAGATGTCTCTGAGATCATAACATGTAATTTACATCTCTTTGGAAAACTACTTCATGATAGAGGTCTCGTTTTCAATATTGGCCTCGTCACTAAATATGTTTAACAAGGGTTGTCAAAACAATAAATACTCGGACCAACCACTTCCCCTCAATACAATCAAGCCCTAATGAAAATGCATTTAGCTTAATGAGATGCAAGAATTTAACATAGTTAAATGATGTTATAAAAATATAATTCTTTACCTTTGGTTTCCTTATTGTTTGAAATATTATTCATTTTTGACCTGTTTCTGCCATATGGGTTTTAGGGGTTGTACTTTCCTCATGTAAATTATAACCATGTCTTAAAATCAAAGGGATACTGTTTACCCAACAATAATAAATAAATAAAACAATAAACAACAATAAAACATTTTTATTCATGGCAATTGTCAAATTGTGTGGCAAATTACCTTAAATGATAATCTATATATGGGTGAAAATGTGTGACAAAGTTACCCTAATCATGTGAGACTATATGTGGTAAAATGGTGAATATGTGTGGCAAAGTTACCTTTATAATGTGAGACTATATGTGGTAAAATGGTGAAAATGTGTGACAAAGTTACCCTAATCATGTGAGACATGAAATATGTGTGGCAAAGTTACCTTAATCATGTGAGACTATATGTGATAAAATGGTGAAAATGTGTGACAAAGTTACCTTTATATTGTGAGACTATATGTGGTAAAATGGTGAAAATGTGTGACAAAGTTACCTAATCATGTGAGACTCTATGGTAAAATGGTGAAAATGTGTGTCAACCTTCCCTAAATCATGTAAGAATATATGTAGTAAAATGGGATAGTATGATGCCAATACAAACCAATAACCTGATTCTGAATGGACTACACATGATATTTGCCTATGTGTTCCCTATATTCATATAAATGTGTTTCATTACAGTGGACAGTATGATGCCAATACAAACCAATAACCTGATCCTGAATGGACTACACATGATATTTGCCTTTGCTATGATTGCCTATGTGTTTCCCATATTCCTGGCTGCTTGTGTACCCCTTGCAATTGTGTTTGTCATCATCAAGGTGATTGGAACTCCAGGTAGGTGGTTTTAATATTATTACAAAAAGTACAGGGTAACACAAAATGTAACACTCAATTTTGAATAAATCTCTTTACTATGATGAGATTTCTTGTGCTGTACAATATCTGGCATTTAAATGTAAAGTTATGATTGAAATCTGAAAATGTTACATCGTGATACAAAAATTGGAATTTAAATTTAAGAATAACTCAATTATGATGGAATTAACTTGTTTGTTAGTGTAGATTTTTATTGATGTTGAAATTGCAATTTTGTTGTTACTTCTGGATCACCCTTTACATACACGAATAAGAAAGGACAACAATAATTCATTACCCTTTTCAATCTCTTTGACCTAGTTTCTTTAGTTAAAGTTTAAAAGAAACTCCTGAACTTACAGAGCCAATCACAGCTTGTCATCACAAGATGATTTTCTTTATATTGTCATTTCCTCTTACATCATTTAACTTCTTATTGCTGATTGGTCGAGAAAATGTCAGTGCTGTGGGTTTGCAATGGTCATGTGCATCTCCACGTGCAGTGGATGCACAACTGCGAAAATTTTCCAATCTTTTAAGAGTTAAGTTTAGACTTATACTCACTGGCATGTAGCAATCCTGATATCGATTAATTCTACACGCAATAAAACCAGATACTACGAAAATTGAATCGTCTGCACGTGTATGTGTGTTGACTTTCTTGTATTATTATGAACATTTATACTCAACTGAAAGAGCAGTCATGCTTATATCAAGTAATAGTTGGATTTAATTTCGTGTAGGTGCATTCGTAATACGATTTGTTGCTGATAGAGTGTCTTTAGAAGAACAGTTAAATGTCAAGATAAGGACCTGATTTTAAATTATGAGACTGATCACTTTTCTGACATTGCAGTGTTCATTCGCCTTTATTCTGACTTTACACGTACATTTGCATTAGACGCCTTGCTCAATCAGCTTCCATACGTTCGTTGTAGGCAAACAGCAGATATTTCAATATGGATATACCTGTACATGCAGTGAATAAAAAAATTCAAATGATAGATCATACATATGATATCGATTATACATGAACCATCAGTGACAATGGATATTTTCAATACCTGAATCGGGACTTGAATTGAAATGCAATGAATCAAATTCACAATGAATTTAAGTCCTCGAGTGTGCCGTTCCAATAAATGAACTAATCTTGTTGAATATATTACACACTAAATACACTGAGTTTATATATGTTTTGAGTTGTAAGTGCATGAAACTAGGATTTGAAACAGGTACATAATTTATTCAACAAGATCGTCAACTATGCAAAATCATTTTTCGGTAAGAAAATATAAAAAATAACAAAATAATTATCGGCATCAAAGAATTAAAAAACGATCTAATCGGTCAGCCGACAAACATATTTACCACAGTACAAGTTTGTGTATGATACAACCCTGAATTTCATTCCTAAAACATCAATGAATATAATTTATGTCCCCGGGCTGATGTCCCTGCATTCCCGATAAACTGCGTCAAGATGTCTTGTATCTAGAATAAACAAGATCATTTTCTTCATCCCCAGATCTTCATCATACTTCAATCATACCTTTTGCCACATTCAAATGGGAGATGTATTCTGTAAGCTTGTGACTAAAACAAAGCCAATATAAGTGATTTATATCACTAAACATGAATAATTGAGCGTTGGAGCGAGCCCAAGAATTAAAAATAATGTGTACAAAATTTTCGGACTTCAGAGAAAAAACTTCCGGTTTGTTGGTCATTATGAAAAAACTACAAGAATGTGGAATCAGGCCCGCACCTTACAACTGTCTGGCAAGCGCTACAACCACTACACCTGAGAGTGGCAATTGCATGAATGATGTAACTTTTGCAACTACCTACACTGCATTAATATAAATGTGTAATATTTCCAAGTTGCATTCTGTGTTGAAATGCTTTAGAGACTGTTGTGTGGATATTATGAAAACATCAAAAAACAACATAAACACAGATTATAAACACCAAGGCTCTAGCCAAAATACTATGTTTACAGATAAATTATGGTGTTAAAACTGTATCAAAATTGGACATCTTATATTTATGTGATATCTCTAAAACATAGAATAGCGTTTAGCAGAATCGTACACAATCCGTGTGATTTCATACACGGTTTGTTCGAGTTTGCACACTTTATGTTTGTAAAATCACACTTGTACATGCGTATTTGTGTATGCATTGTTTAAAAATGACATCGAACAGGGTACACAAGTCAAACAAATGCTTATGCGGCTCGCACAAACGTTTTTCCCTTCACAAACCTTGATGTACCGATCACACACCTTGATGTAAAATAAATTGCTTTCTAGAGATGTTCGAGATTTTGTTCTAAATCTCGCGTTACTTTTGCACTGAACGAAATAACACATCAGCGCGGCAAAAAGATAAAAAGATCTAGAATGTAGTTTCTCAATAAATGGCCACTGTACGTCTCCCTAGCCTAATGCCTAGGGTATCCTATTATATATTTTTAATTTAAAATTTACATTTTATAACATTTCAATGGAGGGCGCCATATTGTAGAAACCAGGATGTAAATATCACGTGACTTCAAATCTCGCACCCTATGTGAAGTGCAACTTGTTTGTGACAGCCTATGCGAGCGGGAACCATCCTATGCGAGTTTGATCTCAATGCGTGTGTAAAATTGACACGTTCGTTCGAAATTTACTTTGATCCATGTGTAATTCTTTCAGTATTCTATGCAACTTATAACTCAATGCGTGTGTAAAATTGACACATTCGTTCGAAATTTACTTTGATCCATGTGTAATTCTTTCAGTATTCTATGCAACTTATAACACAATCCGTGTGACATTTCAACATTGCTTTTGGATTTTTGGAAAGTGATTGGAGTTAGTGCTAACTCTTTGTGTGACACTTGGTACAACCTGTGCGTGTGTGAATGAAAATAAGTTATTTAAGAAAATTAACTGTTGGTATAACATGGATTGAAAATGGCATACGATGATGCGAGTTTCACATATAATGATGCGTATTTCGCATAGTATGATGCGAGTTTCGAATCATATAGTTCGAGTATCGCATCATATAGTTCGATTTTCCCCATACATCAGGTAATGTCCAATTTTGATACAAAATAAATTCCATAATAAATAGCCTTAAATTCAGGTAGTTCTAAGCATCTTGGCTAAAGAGACACTTCAAATTCGAAAAATATTGATATTGATCTAATGATTTATAAAGAGAGTTATGACTAACGGGATAAAAAGTTTATTTATTGCATATATAACTAAGGGTTATGTACCAGGAGGTTTTGGATATGGGGTTTATCCAGAAGGATATATGCATATCTACCTGAGGGACCGTAGGGACCGAAGGTAGACGTGCATATCTCACAAGGGATAAACCCAATATCCAAACCGACCGTACATAACTGCTCAATTATATACCAAGTAGTTTTCTAAAAAATTGGTTTGGTTTTGGTTTCAATATTTTTTCAATTTTTATTTTTATTTTTTTCCATTTTATTCAAAGTGGGAAGATATGCCCGGAGCGAGAGAGATATATAGTTGAGGTAATATGTACTTCTTTCTGTAACTGGAATATGATTCTAATATACTAGCAACACACACACATTCCCGGGGAAACATAAATCTTTAGTGTAGAGTGTGGACATTTTTCTTTTCATTTCTCTAAACTCCGATTATTCTCATAAAATTCACACAAAGTTAGGTCTAAGCTTTTATTTTCATATTCTGCATGTTAAGATATTGAGAATCTAAAACCTAAGAGATAAATTCAATGTCTTCAGTTGAGAATAAGTATAAGATAGATATGTGAATTCTGCTGGTTGTTGCACTATTTTTATAATAAACAAGGTTCAAAATGCAACACTGAATAGACTGCAGTCATAGCTTAGTTGTATAGAAAACAAAAGAAGTTGGGACGTGGTCATGCTTGAATAAGTTTCTTTTATATATCACCGTTTGCATTCATTGAAATCAGTATGTATTAATTTCAAGAGGTGGTCGTTGTTCAAGGGCATATGTTTGAGTTATTGGTTTAATGATAAATGTGACACTTGAATGCATAATGCTTTATGTATGCGTGAAACAAATACTCCAATGGCCTAATCTCAATTTGCCTGCATACAATATAACATTGAAATGATGGTCATCTGCCCAATAAATTCCACACCACATGTCTAACTTCGACACAATTCACTCAAGTATAGCAGGATCGCTACATGCCAGTGTATACTATGTACTCATTGTAATAATTCACTACGTGACTTGATAATTAAATGAAATGCAACACCTGCATCTTTCAATTATGAATGTACAATGAGAGGATTAAATCTTAAGGTCATATGATATACCTGTGGTGGAATAACTGCATGAGTCTTGTCATAATCATTCCACGTAAATTAGAAACATATTACAGTATACCATCAAAGAAAGTTCCAGGGATACAGAGAATCCTTCAATTTGTCCATCGGTACTTTATCTGTCCAGGAAATACAGTGATCTCCCCAGTATAAAGCAAGAGGGCGCTAAGCACCCACCTGAGATTTTTAAGTCAGGCTTGCACCCACCTGAAAATCCATTTGCACTTGCTTAAAAATTATTAAAATGGCCATATTTTGATCAATTTTGATCCGAATTGTGAAAATGAGAAATTTGAACCCATCTGAGAAAACGTCAAATACCATTGGCCCTATAGTGTTAATTTTATTTTGTGTAATATATGCCCAATATGAGAACAAGTTCTGCCATGACCATCCCTATCAAAATGGCCATAATTTTGGTCTGCAGTTTACAATAATATGTGATATTCATTTAGTTCAAAATCCATTTTTAAAATATGATGATCAGGCCCGTAGCCAGGATTTCCCAAGGGGGGGTTCAGTTTTCAAAAATTTCCAGGGGGTGGTTCACATTTGACAATTTTGGCCCAAATATGGCTAAAATCACTTGAGAAGTGCTCAAAATGGTGAAAAACTGCATGATTTTGAAAGAATTTTTGGCCAGGGGGGGGGGGGGGTTCGCCCGAACCCTGCGAACCCCCCCCCCCCCTGGCTACGGGCCTGATGATGATTGGATCTTTCAAATTGGTGCCATCCATTTTTTGAAAATAAGTAGAATGATTTCGTTCTTTATATCTGTATTCTCAGATACATGACACACTGTCTAATGATTGCTACTGGAGATGGCCATTTTGAAAATGACAGCCATTTTTATATGTGTTATTTGCTAGAAAAGTAGTGGTATGATTTTATTCATTTTTAGCATATGAATATGGAGGCCATTTGAAAAATGTTCGATGGAATTTGCTACACCTTGGCACTGTCGTTTTCTATTGCTTCTTTATTAACTTGTATCACACATCACCTCAATTACATTTCCTGTTACTATATTTATAATTTGATTCCAACATTCAATCCAGATGACAGTGTAGCTAACTTAGATGAACCATTGTCGTTGCTAATGCAGATGTCTCCTTGTAATTAAACTGATATCATAGTTAACATGTAAAATCAGTCAAATAAAACCGATGTCATAGCAAACCCATGAAATCAATGGAATAAAACTGATGTCATAGCAAGCACATAAAATCAGTGGAATAAAACTAATGTCATAATGAACATTAAAATCAATGGAATAAAACTGATGTCATAACTTACAAATAAATCCAGTGGAATGAAACTGATGTCATAACTTACACATAAAATTATCAGTGCAATACAACTGATGCCATAACACATAAAATCAATGGAATAAAACACATGAAATCAATGGAAAGAACTGATGTCATAAGTATACATAAAATAAAACTGATGTCGAAGTGAACACAAATGACTTAATAAAACTTTCTTAGGTATCTAAGTTTAATAAGCAGGAACCTAAAATGGATAAATTGAACAATTCAATTCTGACAAAATGGAACAATGAAACAACACAATGCCTAGGAGTGGCTCCTTTATCTCCGATTGCATTAATTATACACATCATCATTATTACTATAATCCAACTTGTCATTACACTCACTAATGGACTATTCCTAATCATACTATGTGACAAGAAAACAAAGTTGTCACCCACATGTATTTTAGTGCTGTGTCTCACTGTTGCAGACTTGATTTCTGGCTTTGTTGTATTACCAATGATAACCTACACCCGGCTCGTTACTCCACTGTACGCACAATGGGGAATGCAGGAGGACTCAAAAGAAACACAGAGGGCTACTTGTTTTGTGCTTTTGTTATTAGGGAACATAACATACATTGTGTCATTCTTCATCATGGCAGCCATTGCATTTGAGCGTTTCATCGGAATGAAACTATATAAGTCACTGAATAAAACGAGAGCTAAACGAAAAGTACTTTGTGGCGGAGTACTAATTTGGGTTTACGTCGCGGCTCTTTGTATTGCACTTTTCCCAAAATCATTCAGCTATGATCCAGTACAAGGTTGTCATCTTACATTATGTGTGTCCAAACCATTTCTACGAATTTTGAGACCCCATTTGTGGATTCCCCTTTGTCTGTGTATAGTATTTTACATTGGAATATACATCACGATTGTCAAACACAGACAAATTGTTAACATAGAAACAAATGGTAACCCTATGAATACCCTAAAACATATACACGAGGAAAGATGGGTAAAAACAATATTTTGGGTTCTTGTTGTGTTTTATGGAACATGGTTGCCATATTATATAACAAACTCACTTATTACATACGAGGAGTGTATGGCCGCATGGAAAAAGAATATTTTATATTCAATGTCTACCTTTGCTTTTATGAGTTCGGTCGCTAATCCTTGGATTTACACTTATAGACACACCACCTACAGGAAACTATTGAAAAGGAAATTAAAGCGATTGAGAAAGTGTATGAAGTGTTGTAAAACATGAAGTTACATTTTGAATTTATTCATTTTGACTAAAGATAATTGAAAAATAAACTGAATATATTAAGGAGGGTTTCAATGAGCTGTATTATATGTTATATAGACATGCCGGTTATATGAAACTGTTGAAAAAGAAATTAGGTGGATTATGAAACTGTATGAAGTGTTGCAAAACATGAAGTGATATTTTGAATTTATTTATTTTGATTAAAGATAATTGAAAAATAAACAATATATTTAGGAGAATTTCAGCAATCTGTATTATACAAATAGACGTGTCACCTGAAGGAAAGTGTTGAAATGGTACAATAAGATTACATTTTGAAATTACTCATTATGAAATAGTTGAAAACTAAACTGAATATATTAAGGTTTCTTTGAGTTAACACATAGATGTGTCCCTTGAAGGAAAGTGTTGAAATGGTACAATAAGATTACATTTTGAAATTACTCACTATGAGATAGTTGAAAACTAAACTTAATATATTAAAGTTTCTACAAGCTAACACATAGAAGTGTCCCTTAAAGTGTGCGCCAAAGTTTAATACTGCGCAGGCGCCGCGTTCTCGCTAAACTATATAAAGAGATTACCAGGTACACAATTCAGAGGTAAGCCAGGAAGGTGAACGATCTTCGTCTCGTGATGATTTCCCGTATAATCGTAACCAGGGAAGTTTCACCATTGAAATTGAAAATTACTATTAGATATACTTTGTAGATGTTATTTATGGAACTATTTAGTGTATGTATCAATCAAATGGCTCATTTTGGACATATAAAAAGTATTTGTCTTTTGTTTCCCCGAGAATCGTATTCACACATAAATAGTGTACATTATGTACACAGTGTATGTAGTACATATTGAATAGCCTGGTATAGTAACACCGTGTTTATATAATATTGAAGGGCATGCTGATTGTACACACGAGTACATGCATGCTAGAAGGCCTAATTTTATATAGCTTGCATACCTAAATAAAAAATAAACCCTTCTAATCCCCTTATGTAAATACGGCGGTATACGTAGCCCGATTTATTGGAATCTTTAAAGGAAAGTGATGAAACGGTACAAGGAGATTACATTTGAAATTACTCATTTTGAGCTAGTTTAAAACCAAACTGAATGTATTAAGGTTTCAGGAATCTGTATTATACACATAGACATGTCCCTAAACCTGATTTTACGCCATAAAAATCTCCGCCATTTTGAAACAATGCGAGTTTTTGAGACACCACATATGGAACAATTGACAACCTTATGTAGACACATTTTAAAAGTGAAATCGTTCCAATTGTAGTGGAGGAAATTTGAATTAGCTACCAATGTGTTGACACTACAGATAGACAGACAGACAGGAAAGTGTTGAAACGTTTCAGTGAGAAGAAGAAATGTTATAAAACTGTAATGAATTTGTATTTGTGTCCATTTGCAAAACATTTAATGGTAAATTTATTTCTAGTATCAATCAAGAAAGATCATTTAGGACAAAATGATGAATGTGGATATCAGTATTTGTTTTTGAGGAGAAAAATGTTGGATGTGAATGGGGATATCAGTATTTGTTTTTGAGGAGAAAAATGTTGGATGTGAATGTGGATATCAATATTTGTTTTTGAGGAGAAAATGTTGAATATGGATATCAAATATGTTTTTGAGGAAAAAAATGTTGAATGTGGATATCAATATTTGTTTTTGAGGAGAAAAATGTTGGATGTGAATGGGGATATCAGTATTTGTTTTTGAGGAGAAAAATGTTGAATGTGGATATCAATGTTTGTTTTTGAGGAGAAAAATGTTGGATGTGAATGGGGATATCAGTATTTGTTTTTGTGGAGAAAAATGTTGAATGTGGATATCAATGTTTGTTTTTGAGGAGAAAAATGTGAATGTGGATATCAATATTTGTTTTTGAGGAGAAAAATGTTGAATCTGAATATCAATATTTGTTTTTGAGGAAATATTGAAATCTTTATTTCCTTGAAATATGCTTCGTGTGATGGATATAAATAAGTCAGGTAGATTAAAGTTTTACATATTGAAAATGTAAACAAATAGTTTTCTTCAATATTTTGTCAAGGCAGTTTGCTCTTAGAATATGTAAAGTAAAAGTATAAATAATGAAAACATTGGGGTGCATCATGCCTTGGTCTAAAAAGGCAATATAAATTGAAATTATAAAAACATCTACATGTATTGAATATAAATGGTTTCTGTTATAATTTTGTCAAGGCAGTCTAACCTCATATATGTCTCATGACTCTCTACTCCCTTTGTGAATGCTGGTTTCATATTTTTCTCCGTTGGAAATAGAAGACAATGTAGATGTAATATTATCAGATCATGTCTTATTCAGTTCTTGGCATTCTCTTGAGTTTCAGCTGATTTAATTGAATACATGTTTTATAGGTGTAAGGGAAATTAAGAGACTGGAAAACATACAGAGATCTCCCTTGTTTGGTCATGTGAGTGCTACTGTACAAGGGCTTGTGACAATTCAAGCGTACAACAAGACACAAGCTTTCAGAGAAAGGTATGCCGTAATATAATGTAAAATATTCCATGAAAACTTAACAATGGTTTTGAAATGGAGAAAGAGTTGATTTAACCTGGAATATAGTATAACTACTCAAAACTAGCTGTATAATATATTGGATTTATTAATTTAGAATAAAAAATATCTTATGATTATTGAAAACTATGAGAGTGTTATTTTTCAAAAAAATGTATTATTCGCAAAAGTTGAATGCAATAACAATAAAAGCCTTGAAAGATAAGATAGTGGGATGTACTCCTCTTTATTAGCTCTCTTTTATCTAAAATATCCTATTAATCTCAAGATAACTCAAATATCATCAAACACCAGATAACATCTATTGCAGGTTCAAAGAGCTACTAGAACAGCATGCTATGTCTATATTGTGGCAAAGACTGGTTATACGCTGGATATGTGTCCGTGTTGATATGATTATACTCAACATGTTGTATATTATACATGTATTTCAGGTTTCATGAGCTATTAGACCAACATGCTATGTCTATATTGTGCCAAAGACTAGTTATACGCTGGATATGTGTCTGTGTTGATATGATTATACTCAACATGTTATATTTTATATACATGTATTTCAGGTTTCATGAGCTATTAGACCAACATGCTATGTCAATATTGTGCCAAAGACAGGTTATACGCTGGATATGTGTCTGTGTTGATATGATTATGTTGTATATTTTATACATGTATTTCAGGTTTCATGAGCTATTAGACCAACATGCTATGTCAATATTGTGCCAAAAACTGGTTATACGCTGGATATGTGTCTGTGTTGATATGATTATACTCAACATGTTGTATATTATATACATGTATTTCAGGTTTCATGAGCTATTAGATCAACATGCTATGTCTATATTGTGCCAAAGACTGGTTATACGCTGGATATGTGTCTGTGTTGATATGATTATACTCAACATGTTGTATATTATATACATGTATTTCAGGTTTCATGAGCTATTAGATCAACATGCTATGTCTATATTGTGCCAATGACTGGTTATACGCTGGATATGTGTCTGTGTTGATATGATTATACTCAATATGTTGTATACATGTATTTCAGGTTTCATGAGCTATTAGACCAACATGCTATGTCTATATTGTGCCAAAGACTGGTTATACACTGGATATGTGTCCGTGTTGATATGATTATACTCATTATGTTGTATACATGTATTTCAGGTTTCATGAGCTATTAGATCAACATGCTATGTCTATATTGTGCCAATGACTGGTTATACGCTGGATATGTGTCTGTGTTGATATGATTATACTCAATATGTTGTATACATGTATTTCAGGTTTCATGAGCTATTAGACCAACATGCTATGTCTATATTATGCCAAAGACTGGTTATACACTGGATATGTGTCCGTGTTGATATGATTATACTCATTATATACATGTATTTCAGGTTTCATGAGCTATTAGACCAACATGCTATGTCAATATTGTGCCAAAGACTGGTTATACGCTGGATATGTGTCCGTGTTGATATGATTATACTCAATATGTTGTATACATGTATTTCAGGTTTCATGAGCTATTAGACCAACATGCTATGTCAATATTGTGCCAAAGACTGGTTATACGCTGGATATGTGTCCGTGTTGATATGATTATACTCAATATGTTGTATACATGTATTTCAGGTTTTATGAGCTATTAGACCAACATGCTATGTCTATATTGTGCCAAAGACTGGTTATACGCTGGATATGTGTCTGTGTTGATATGATTATACTCAACATGTTGTATATTATATACATGTATTTCAGGTTTCATGAGCTATTAGACCAACATGCTATGTCAATATTGTGCCAAAGACTGGTTATACGCTGGATATGTGTCCGTGTTGATATGATTATACTCAATATGTTGTATACATGTATTTCAGGTTTCATGAGCTATTAGACCAACATGCTATGTCAATATTGTGCCAAAGACTGGTTATACGCTGGATATGTGTCCGTGTTGATATGATTATACTCAATATGTTGTATACATGTATTTCAGGTTTTATGAGCTATTAGACCAACATGCTATGTCTATATTGTGCCAAAGACTGGTTATACGCTGGATATGTGTCTGTGTTGATATGATTATACTCAACATGTTGTATATTATATACATGTATTTCAGGTTTCATGAGCTATTAGACCAACATGCTATGTCAATATTGTGCCAAAGACTGGTTATACGCTGGATATGTGTCTGTGTTGATATGATTATGTTGTATATTATATACATGTATTTCAGGTTTCATGAGCTATTAGACCAACATGCTATGTCAATATTGTGCCAAAAACTGGTTATACGCTGGATATGTGTCTGTGTTGATATGATTATACTCAACATGTTGTGTACATGTATTTCAGGTTTCATGAGCTATTAGACCAACATGCTATGTCAATATTGTGCCAAAGACTGGTTATACGCTGGATATGTGTCCGTGTTGATATGATTATACTCAATATGTTGTGTACATGTATTTCAGGTTTCATGAGCTATTAGACCAACATGCTATGTCTATATTATGCCAAAGACTGGTTATACACTGGATATGTGTCCGTGTTGATATGATTATACTCATTATATACATGTATTTCAGGTTTCATGAGCTATTAGACCAACATGCTATGTCAATATTGTGCCAAAGACTGGTTATACGCTGGATATGTGTCCGTGTTGATATGATTATGTCAATCATCATCACACTAACTGGTCTGTTCTGTATACTCTTGAGAGACACTATACCTCCAGCCGATGGTGGGATGGCAATATCCTTTGCTATGCAGGTGCGTTCATTGGCAAACAGTCCGTCTGTTCACAGCCATTTCACTTCATTTCTTTTTCTAAAATATGAAGAATGTTTTTTTAATTTCTTGTATTTTTATAAAAAAAAACTAAATGCTCATTTTCTTTATTCCTTGCTATTTTGCACTTAAAAAGATGAAACAAAAATTGAAGAATTTCTGAATTTCCAAAAACATACTACTATACAGTACATTGTGATAGAGAAATATCAAAGATGAGGCCATTTCTATACAACTGAAGCAATCACCTTGAATTTCAATACAGATGTTTCACAAACATTAGAGATTGAGGATTCATCTTTTTGATAGGTTGATTTCATAGTTGATATGGTAACTCGAGGCGGCATCACCCAGGAAAAATATTTGTATGAGAATAAAAGGAAATGAATACTGTTCTCCCTTCCATTCTTTGAACCTCTTGTCTACTGGAGCATTTATTATATTTTGCCAGTTTATGCCATTTAAGTAGTAACAATATTTGATGTTCAACTTGAATGAAAAATTAGTTATGGACATAGCCAGGAATGAGTCAGGCATTATTTTTAATATAACAAATTTAGAGGGAGTGGGTGGGGGGAAAGGGGGTATTAGACATTGTTTCTTTTCACGTTAGATCATGGTTTTGGGCTATAAGGGGTTTGTTTTTCTTTACTGGTATGCACTTAGAGTTTGCTTTTTCTTGCTAAGTTCCATTACAACTTTTGGTCCTTGGCCTTTGGCACTAGTGCTTATATATTTGTATTGTATGCTTCAAATTTTTGAATTTCAGATGGCTGCTATATTCCAATATGTAATGCTACTTGCAATAGAAGTTGAGGCTTTATTCACCTCAGTTGAAAGGTTACAAACCTACCTCAAGGTAAGTTTAGATTGTCTTCACCTCATTTGAAAGATTAAAAACCTACCTCAAGGTAAGTTTAGATGGCCTTCACCTCATTTGAAAGATTACAAACCTACCTCAAGGTAAGTTTAGATTGTCTTCACCTCATTTGAAAGATTAAAAACCTACCTCAAGGTAAGTTTAGATGGTCTTCACCTCATTTGAATGATTAAAAACCTACCTCAAGGTAAGTTCAGGCTTCACCTCATTTGACTTCAAATCAACCCTTATGGTTTTATCTTTAAGTAACTGTACATGTAGATGCTATAAAACTCCCTCTCAAGTTTTTATGGAAAAATTCATTGATTCCAATTTTTAAAATGTATAGTAATAATTTGTTTATTATTATTTATTATTATTATTTAAAATATGATATGTTTTATAGATTGAATCCGAAGCACCAGTTTCAATCCCAGAGAACAAACCAGCCTCTGATTGGCCATCACAAGGTCATGTGACATTTTCCAAAGTGAAGTTGCGATACAGAGAGGGTTTGCCATCTGTGTTGAAGAACATGACTTGCGACATCCAACCCAAAGAGAAAATTGGGATCGTTGGCAGGACTGGTGCAGGTATGGTTTAAAGGGTTACGATAAGCTTCCCATATAAAAACAATATGGCAGCTAATTGGCTTGTGTACTGGATCAGTCTATTTTTAAGAAATTAGGGGAGTTTTGTAAATTCCAGTTTTTGAAATGGTCTTGAAGATAGAATAATTCGTCAGAAAGTTTACATTGATTCTATAAACTTGGAGAGAGTGAATTATCCAATGGATGTATAAGCATGAGCCAATATAAATCCTTGTGCAAATCCAAACTACCTTGTTTCATATACAATACATTTCAAAAGACCCCATGCATTGTGCTTATACGTGATGGGTTAATCTAAATATCATATTTTCCATTAAACACAAATAGAAGATCCTGAAACTTCATCAATGAAATGTGAAACTGATGTGTCAATATAAAAATCTCCCTTTGATAACTATGTGACGATTCATATTATACCTGTAGTAGCAAATAAACAGGCACATTACATAGTTTCTCCATCCTGCTTACCCTTGAGTATTATTCTGGGATCATGCCTTTTATACTATATATAAACGCAAATGCCAAAGGGAAGGGTGACTAAAAACTAAGAAACCCAACAAGAAAAGCAAACTGTAAGTGTAAATCTGTCATAAGAAAAGTAGACCCTATATATCCCAAAACCATGATCTTTGTGAAAAGAAACAATGTCTAACATCCCCCTCCCCCCTCCCCCCTCCAATCGAGAACCAATATCACAATCCAGGACCAGAACACCAAGGGACATTTCATTCATACTGAAGTCATTACAATACTTGTTGAAGAAAAATTGAAAAATTGATAGCCAATACTCATAACATCAAAAATTTAATTTTAACAGTGAGCAACACCACAAACGAGCGTTCGATTTGCTAAACGATATGCGTTACCCTTTAAAATGCAAAATAAAATAGGACACAGTGGAATAGAATTTACAGACATACTAGTACATGTATAGTTGATGAGTTTAATATTATAGAAATGTCAGAAATTCAGAATTCATTAAAGGAGAATTTGAGAGAAATCAGAAGAATTTGTATCATTGGTAAAACTGGTGCAGTAAAAAGGTGATTGCTATTTTCACATGGTCTGTCATAATATGGAATCACTTCATTGTTTTAGGTAAATCCTCACTAGGTGTCGCTTTATTCCGTCTTGTGGAGCTCTCCGCTGGTGACATCACAATAGATGGTTATGACATCAGCAAGATTGGCCTTGGTGATCTCCGCTCAAAACTCAGTATCATTCCACAGGATCCTGTCTTATTTGTTGGCACTGTTAGGTAAGTAAACCATATCTGGGGGTTATATTAGTCAACTTCTTACCCCATCAAAGTCATATGACTTAAATGTTATGCTCCATTATAAAGATCACCCAAAGCTACATTGAAATGGAGAATTTTATTAAGGCTATGTAGACACATTCTTTTTGCAGCCTCTCATACCTTATGATTTTGGGGGTCATATCTTTAACCATATTCTATACAACTACAATGGATTCATTGAATATAGTTGCAAAAATGTATATTTTTTAGGGATTTTCACTATGTTAGCACCTTCCCCTAAATTTAATGGACTTTTCCTACCCCGAACACAATTTATTACATTTGTTGAAATCCATTCCTTTTGCTTAGATATTTCAGGTATAATATATTATAAATTTAAAATATATATGTTAAATATTTCAGGTATAATATAGATCCATTCAGTGAACATACTGATGAAGAAGTGTGGACTGCCTTGGAGAGATGTCATGTCAAAAGCACTGTAAGTAAATTCTACTGAGTTCTGTAACTACAAAGAGTACTGAGCTCTGTATGTACAATGAGAACTACGTTCTGTAAGTACAAAGAGTACTGAGCTCTGAAAGTACAATAAGTACTGAGTCTGTAAGTACAAAGTGTACTGAGTTCTCTAAATACAATAAGTACTGAGTTCTGTAGGTACAATGAGTACTGAGTTCTGTAAGTACAATGGAATTCTGTATAAGTTTTGTATTCTGCTAATTTAGGTTTTCATATGACAAGATAGATGGTTCAATAGAGAGTTTGGCATTTCTTCATGACATTTAATGTCAGAGTCAAGATTTTACAAACATTTTCCCAATTAACTTAACTTTGGTCATTTGGCTTATGTTACATTTTTACCAATTACTACAAATGAACTACTTTATTATATAATTGTTTATTATATAATTGTTTTTAAGCCTCAATGGCCATTGCATCATAATAGACTCAACCGAAGCTATATTTGAATGTCTCTATATTTTTGTAGATCTTAAACCTTGAGCAACAGTTGTATGCCCCTGTGCTGGAGAATGGAGAGAATTTCTCAGTTGGCGAACGTCAGCTGATGTGTATGACACGTGCCTTACTTAGAAATAGCAAGGTAAGGTGGTTTTATAAGGGTTATATACTGGGAGGTTTTGAATACAGGGTTTATCCAAGTGCCATATTTGAATCTCCTGAGAAAGGAGAATACTCATTTCTCATGTTTCTTGAGGGTTGAATCCTGTATCCAAAACCAATTGTACATAACAAATGCATTTCATGTTTACCATAGTTATAAGGATATTCTGCTCTCTGATGTACTAAGCACACCTTATGAATTATATACACTTGGCATACGATATTGTAGTCAGCTTGACGGGCGGGCGGGCGGGTGGGCGGGCGGCGTCTCACTTTTCAGTTTGTCTACAGGTTTCCAGCCAACCCATTTAAGGGATTCGTCTGAAATTTTCAGGGATGTTTCTACATATCAACATCAAGAACTGATTAGTTTTTGGGCATTCTGGGTAAATCTTAAGGTGGCCATTTTGGATTTTCCATCCTAAAATCTTTACTTTCAAGACTTGTCTACAGGTTTCCAGCCAAACCATTTGAGGGATTCATCTGAAATTTTCAGGGATGTTTCTACATATCAACGTCAAGAACTGATTAGTTTTTGGGCATTTTGGGTAAATTTTAAGGTGGCCATTTTGGATTTTCTGTACTAAAATCTTCACTTTCAAGACTTGTCTACAGATTTTCAGCCAAACCATTTGAGGGATTCATCTGAAATTTTCAGTGATGTTTCTACATATCAACGTCAAGAGCTGATTGGTTTTTGGGCATTCTGGGTAAATTTTAAGGTGGACATTTTGGATTTTCCGTCCTAAAATCTTCACTTTCAAGACTTGTCTACAGGTTTCCAGCCAAACCGTTCAAAGGATGAGTCTGGGAATGAGTCTGGGTATCGACTTAGAAAATATTGAAAATTGTAATGTCTGAAAAACCAACTCAATCACACATATTACTAAACTTCAGTATCTTATCCTTCTTCTGAGAGTACAAAAATATCAATCTGTATCACAATTAATGAAGAATATTGGCATCAAAGACAGTGCATATCACTCTGTCAGAATTGAAAAAAAATCAATGGCAAATATTAAATGAATTATTTATACAAAAGGTTTGAAACATATCCTCCAAAACATTGCTTACTTTCTTTGTATAGACATTGAATGGTATTTCTGGATAAGTGAATTGGTGTTTATCTGGGTAATCAAAGGATTATAGTCACTCAAAGTTACTGAGCATCCAGTTTTGAGACTTCAATTGTGTTGGTGAAGTTACACATATTTCAGTCAAATTCATGCTGAGCACAACATTTTGGTTTCAATTTTATAATCTCTATACATGACCCTGGTGATGAAGAATCAGAATCAGTCAAAAAACCTAAACCGGAAAACTGTGCTCATTGTGAAAACTAAAAGTGAAGCAACTTTTTTTCTGATATTTCTTACATCAAATGGCAGCCATCTTGTTTTTCCCCCTTCAAATTAAACTGGCGGGAAATTCAAAAATTTGAAAAAAATTTTAATCATTAAATATATTTAAAAAATATGATTTTCTTTTAAATTCTTCATGGGTCTTGATTTATTTCTTCTTTGTAAGTCATACATGTTGCCATTGGTGTTTTTTCTATGATAATGACTATTTTTTTCGTTAAGATACTTATATTCTGACTCTCAGCAGGGGGTTAATTATGCATCAAAACTCGTGAAAAAGTAAATATACTTATAAAATATAACTAGGACAGTAATAAAAAACACATTTCACATACATTTGACTGAGGGACCAAAAGGGCATATACCCGGACACATCCTTTTTACATATGTTACACAGTGATAAGTTCTAGAGCTGATTAACTTTTCTGCGGCCATCTTGCTTTCTTGGTCAACAAGACCACAATGCTGTGTTTTAGGTACGATATTGTTCATGTCTGTGCCTTGTTGTTGTAGATCCTCATGCTAGATGAAGCTACAAGTTCTATAGATACAGAGACGGACCATCTTATACAAGCAACTATTAAAGAGGCCTTTAGTCACTGTACAATGCTTACTATAGCACATAGACTCAACACAGTACTACACTATGATAGAATAATGGTGCTCCAAGATGGACAGGTGAGACTTTTTGTTGATTTTTTTATAGTATCACTACTAAGAAGTGGTAAAACATCATAAATCTGCACTTTGAAGTCATAGTATTTTATGGTACCATGTGAGTATGATACCATGTGAATATGGAACCATGTTAGTGTGCTACCATATGAGTATGCTATCATGTGAGTATGGTACCATGTGAATATGGAACCATGTTAGTGTGCTACCATATGAGTATGCTATCATGTGAGTATGGTACCATGTGAATATGGAACCATGTTAGTGTGCTACCATATGAGTATGCTATCATGTGAGTATGGTACCATGAGAATATGGCACCATGTTAGTGTGCTACCACATGAGTATGCTATCATGTGAGTATGGTACCATGTGAATATGGCACCATGTTAGTGTGCTACCATATGAGTATGCTATCATGTGAGTATGGTACCATGTGAATATGGAACCATGTTAGTGTGCTACCATATGAGTATGCTATCATGTGAGTTTGGTACCATGTGAATATGGAACCATGTTAGTGTGCTATCATGTGGGTATGATACCATGTGAATATGGAACCATGTTAGTGTGCTACCATATGAGTATGCTATCATGTGAGTATGGTACCATGTGAATATGGAACCATGTTAGTGTGCTACCATATGAGTATGCTATCATGTGAGTATGGTACCATGTGAATATGGAACCATGTTAGTGTGCTACCATATGAGTATGGTACCATGTGAATATGGAACCATGTTAGTGTGCTAACATATGAGTATGCTATCATGTGAGTATGGTACCATGTGAATATGGAACCATGTTAGTGTGCTACCATATGAGTATGCTATCATATGAGTATGGTACCATGTGAATATGGAACCATGTTAGTGTGCTACCATATGAGTATGCTATCATGTGAGTATGGTACCATGTGAATATGGAACCATGTTAGTGTGCTACCATATGAGTATGCTATCATGTGAGTATGGTACCATGTGAATATGGAACCATGTTAGTGTGCTACCGTATGATTATGCTATCAGGTGAGTATGGTACAATGTGAATATGGAACCATGTTAGTGTGCTATCATGTGGGTATGATACCATGTGAATATGGAACCATGTTAGTGTGCTACCATATGAGTATGCTATCATGTGAGTATGGTACCATGTGAATATGGAACCATGTTAGTGTGCTACCACATGAGTATGCTATCATGTGAGTATGGTACCATGTGAATATGGCACCATGTTAGTGTGCTACCATATGAGTATGCTATCATGTGAGTATGCTATCATGTGAGTATGGTACCATGAGAATATGGCACCATGTTAGTGTGCTACCACATGAGTATGCTATCATGTGAGTATGGTACCATGTGAATATGGCACCATGTTAGTGTGCTACCATATGAGTATGCTATCATGTGAGTATGGTACCATGTGAATATGGAACCATGTTAGTGTGCTACCATATGAGTATGCTATCATGTGAGTTTGGTACCATGTGAATATGGAACCATGTTAGTGTGCTATCATGTGGGTATGATACCATGTGAATATGGAACCATGTTAGTGTGCTACCATATGAGTATGCTATCATGTGAGTATGGTACCATGTGAATATGGAACCATGTTAGTGTGCTACCATATGAGTATGGTACCATGTGAATATGGAACCATGTTAGTGTGCTACCATATGAGTATGCTATCATGTGAGTATGGTACCATGTGAATATGGAACCATGTTAGTGTGCTACCATATGAGTGTGCTATCATGTGAGTATGGTACAATGTGAATATGGAACCATGTAAGTGTGCTACCATATGAGTGTGCTATCATGTGAGTATGGTACCATGTGAATATGGAACCATGTTAGTGTGCTACCATATGAGTATGCTATCATGTGAGTATGGTACCATGTGAATATGGAACCATGTTAGTGTGCTACCATATGAGTGTGCTATCATGTGAGTATGGTACCATGTGAATATGGAACCATGTTAGTGTGCTACCATATGAGTATGCTATCATGTGAGTATGGTACCATGTGAATATGGAACCATGTTAGTGTGCTACCATATGAGTGTGCTATCATGTGAGTATGGTACCATGTGAATATGGAACCATGTTAGTGTGCTACCATATGAGTGTGCTATCATGTGAGTATGGTACCATACGGCCCTTTTTTGAGTTTTGCAGTAAAACCTGTGTATACTGAACACTTTTTGGTAGGTGTTCACTGTTCACTACAGAGAGGGTTGATACAGAAGTCAATAGAGAATTTGTAGATAAAGGGTGTCACTAAGACAGGCGTTCACCAATATAGAGAAGTGTTCACTAAGGTGTTCACTACATTTATGTTTACTTTATATCTAGCTAATTCCACCCATTTCTCCTAAAAATTTGAATGAAATGTCTGATTTTCTTGCATTTCTATACAATTTAGAGTGTTGACTACATGCCTGTTTACTTTATTCCTTGCTGATTCCACTCATTTCTCTCTAAAATTTGAATGAAGTGTCTGATTTTCTTGCATTTCTATACAATAACCCAGATGCGAGTAGAATAATGTTGATTTACGTCATTAAAAATTCAAAATTCAGTCAAAGTAATATCATATTTGAAATCTACATGTAAAATTACATCTAGAAAAATTAATTTTCTTTGAAAATGTGACTTCTAGCTCGGGGAGATTCCCCATAGACCCCATGCTATAAAATCACAAAAAATGAAATATCTTTTCTTTTAGTGGACAGATAATATTTTGCTTTACTGGACATATTTTCATTAGTATAAGTATCAGGCACATAAGGGTTATATGAAAATTGAGCCACTTAAATTGATAATATTCAAGTTTAAGGGAACTTTCTTATATACCTGCCATGTTAATTGACCCGAATCAGCCACCTGGTGGTGAAACTGGTAACTACCTACTCCCATTTGGGTAATTTAGAGTGTTGACTACATGCCTGTTTACTTTATTCCTTGCTGATTCCACTCATTTCTCTCTTAAATTTGAATGAATATATAAGCACAAGTGCCAAAGGGAAAGGACCAAAAGTTGTAATGGAACTTAAGTGCAAACTCTAAGTTCATACCAGTCAAGAAAAACAAACCCCATATAACCCAAAACCATGATCTAACGTGAAAAGAAACAATGTCTGATACCCCCTTTCCCCCACCATTCAAGAACCAATATCACAATCCATGAAGACCAGAAGACCAAGGGACGTTTCATTCATACTGAAGTCATTACAATACATGTTGAAGAAAAAATTAGAAATTGATAGCAAATTGATAGCCAATACTCATAACATCAAAAGTAGTTGTAGATACAAGTACATGTACTCATACAAGATAGAGCATTCAGTCTCAAATGATGTGGGATAGATAAAATCCAGTCTCCAAGTCCATAGGCGTTTCAAGGGTCAACATCCATTCACAAAAGCCGTCGCCATAATCCATAAAACACAATAATTCACAATGGTCATCAGGAGAAAACTATGGCCGGTTTCTGATTTCTGAAGTGTCTGATTTTCTTGCATTTCTATACAATTTAGAGTGTTGACATGCCCGTTTACTCAATTTCTTGCTGATTTCTCTGTTTTGCATTTTAAATCATGACTACCTTTCTTCTTCTTCTTCTTCTAACAGTTTTTTCATGTTATTTCAGATTGTTGAATTTGACAGCCCTGCCTCTCTGATGGCTGACAAGACGTCTCATTTCAGTCAGATGATGGAAGCAGCCAAACAAGCACATAAAGCGACAATCTAATAGTATTAATAAACAGCTGCAGTAGAACTTGTAAAGTGGAACACATCTATCACAAGTGGAACACACAAACTCCTATTTCCCAATACAGTAACTCAATGTAAAATTAACATCTATTAGTGGAACACCTCTTAAGTGGAACATTTTGGGGTTCTGTAAGTGACATACCTCCTTAAATGGAACACTTTCAAACTCCAGTTATCCAATATCATTACCTTAAACGAACCTAAGTGGAACATTTTGGGGTTCTTAAGTGGTATGCCTGCACATGTGAAACACAAAGATTTTGAGGTGCTACTCTGGCACAATTTAACCCTACTTTATAACAGGACAGCATCTTTTCCATTCAATCGAGGTTGGGTCATGCAGCCGAAGGTAAGCCATACAACCGAAGGTAAGCCATACAACCAAATTTTTCTGACGGAGAATGCCGAGCCTCTCTTTTTGACCAATTAAAGACGTGCTCTTCACATTCATGGTACCCTCGGCCAACTTTGTTTCCAAAGAAAATCTTCAGCAATCTCCGACTTTTCTTGAGGTATCTTCGGTTGCAAGCCAAAAGTCGACACCAACTTTATAACAGGTATCAATATCAAGTAAAGAGCATAAGACATCCCAGGTAAAAGTTGGAACAATAAAAATGAATCATGGATAGCTATTTTGTCAAAGAGATCATGTGTCCAAAAGATCCTGACGTGTGCCAAAATACACCGAAGAAAGTTGTCAAATAGAAGAATTACATTTTGTTTCTTAAATATATGCAGTTTTAAATTGCTTAAATGGTGCACAAAGATTTTTCATTTTGGATATACCGTTATAAAAGACCGAGAAATTAAACTAAAAATATATATAAGCTCTTTGAAATTGCTTAAATTGTTTACTTAAAGATCTGTCAAAATGGTGAAAGCTGCATTTCCCAAATAATTTTTCTCCAGTTGGGCAGAACTCCCCTTAGCTACGGGCCCACAACCTTTCCCTTACCACTTTGGTACGTTGGTAACCCAAGGCCACGTAGATTAACCCATATGATGTAGGATTTTGCCATTACCACTTAAACACATCCCAGTTAGGGACCATGTAATATTTTCTACTCTGTTCTACGCATTATGGATCGTGTTTATTGTTTGTGTATGAAAGTCTCATACATTCTTTGAACATTCATTGTAAAAAAGATTTTTAAATATATGATAAATATATTTAAAGAAAACAACTGAAATGACAAAAAAATTGTACTTTTATAGCCCCAAATGTAGACACATAGTTTGCCTATTGTAACTACGCAATTGATTTAATCTAGCTGACAGAGTTATAATGCACAGAGAGGGGTGATATTGATAATGGAGACATCATTTATTTAAAGGTAAAACATCCTGGGCATTATATTCTCCCTGATTGAATTAAGTTTTCAAATGAAACATAACTGCTGTTTTCCATTTTCTTTTCTGCATGTTTTATTGTTTTGTAATTTATACATCTGTATTTCAGTGTATTAAACAGTTTGTTTAAATCTTTAGTTCAGCAGAAAGTATCAAAATCAATATAGTATTTACAATTTGTTTGTTTAAAGTTCTCTAATGATGTTTCATTATTGTATTTAGAAACATTGTAGTTCTCAACTTCTCAGTGCCATTGTACATTTTCAATGTATTTCATTGTTAGTTAAATCCATTGCATATTATATCAAGTACATTGTATTTTATTAGTTACATTGTATATGTCTTTGTTTGCATTCATTTTGAATCTCCCTACTACATTTTGCATTTATTTATCTTTTATTGGTACATTCAATATTTATGTCATATCTATAAATCTATGTCATATCTATTTATGTCATGTCATATATATTTATGTCATGTCAATATATTTATGTCATGTCTAGATCTATCTTTATACTGATATATGCGTGTAAACAATATGATCTGTTGTAAATAAAATATATTTAGTGCAGATGATTTTATTGTGTTCAGTTTATCTTACCACGTATATATACAACATGTCCCAACTCTACATTGACTAGACACACAACCATGTAACTGTATTGTAATTGTTTTTTGCAATTGCTTTAACATGCTTATTCTTTGAAATAAAAAAATAAAAATAGAAAAAACTTAATCACCACTTGCACTCGTCACTTGCACTTACTTCTTTCACTTGCAACCTGTACTCATCACTTGCACTCAATCTTTGTACTCAACGCTTACACTGAATCCTTGTACTCATCACTTGCACTCAATCCTTGTACTCAACGCTTACACTGAATCCTTGTACTCATCACTTGCACTCAATCGTTGTACTCAACGCTTACACTGAATCCTTGTACTCAACGCTTACACTGAATCCTTGTACTCAACGCTTACACTGAATCCTTGTACTCATCACTTGCACTCAATCCTTGTACTCAACGCTTACACTTAAACCTTGTACTCAACGCTTACACTGAATCCTTGTACTCAACGCTTACACTGAATCCTTGTACTCAATCCTTGTACTCAACGCTTACACTCAATCCTTGTACTCAACGCTTACACTCATCCTTGTACTCAACGCTTACACTCAATCCTTGTACTCAACGCTTACACATTAGTTCGTACTTTTCTAAATAAGGAGGGAGGAAGTATGTCGGAAGCCTATAATGTACCATTCTGATACTCAGACCATCTATGCAATGCACAAGAATGTTCTAGAAAGGAAATAAAACTGAGAGAAGGCAGAAGGCACGATGATAATGTACAATACGAAGTGAACAAATACAAACGTCCTCCACTCAAAATGTAATGAAAGCTATGAAAAATTGATTTTACTTTTTTTTTTCAATTGAGTAATGGTAGTGTTACACAATTTAAAAAAAATTATTAGCCATGTTCAAAAGACAAGTTTTTAGCCAAACTGTTTTTAAATAAAATGAACAATTCATGGTCCCCTTCCTCACCATAGCATTTGAAATACAAATTAAAACATGAAATACACGTAATATGATTGAAAGTGGTTGCTTTAAAGGGAGACGACGGGATAAAAGAGATGTCGAAATAGCGATAAACATGTACGATTTACCAATGTATTGCGTCTCAAACATAATTTTTAAGGGGTCTATGTTATCCAATCCAATGACAAAGTTATCTAAACTGCCCACTATTAAAGCCATCGACAGCTATTAATAAAAATTGAACATGTAATATTTTGATTATGAAGTCTCATAATTTGCAAGTATTGGAGAGGTTAAGCTTTGCATATATAATCGAAACTGAACCTGTACGTATCACTCGACCATATACAAATTCATGTAGCCTTCTCATATAAATAGCCGTTCAAATCCAGTGTTTGTTTAGACTACACCATAGCGTGTAATGATTCTATAGTATGTCATTGATGCGGTTTTATAGCTGGTTTTCTAATACATATTTTAAACGAGCTCGTTTCGTAAGATTTTTGGCGCTATATCATGCATGACATACATCATCGTGTTCAGCAAGAATTCAACTGTACATCGAAATCAAAATTGACAGCATAGTGTTCAATAGACACGAGTAAAATGGTTCCCGTTGACCCAACGTCAAATATTCAAATCTCCCGTTCTAAACCCGAAACTCTGAAGCTGAAAGAGTATCTGAAGTAGACTAAGCGCGCATAAAACTATGAGCGCTCGATACATTCCTTTGTTAATTTTTGCACTTTGCGTTCACGGTTACGTTGTGAAAAACATCGTTAGCTTAACCTCTCCATTATCATCTTATTAGAACGTATGTGTCTTTACAGGAATATCTTAATAGTGATATAGTTCCCGTATAGTTCATGGTCATCTTTAATATCTTCCACTAGGACTGCAGCCTCATCGATGTCAGAGCCTCGTATGATGAAATCAATCTCTAGTAAATGATCGTATTTCCCTATCCTCTAGTTTGTCTTTGAACTTTACCAATTGGTTTCGGCAAACTATAATCCTTCCTTTGTATCTCCCGTGTTGTAACTCCGCCAGGTGGTAGGCTAGACAATGAGAGCAATGTTTTGTTTCGGGGATCAATAGTGTCAAGTTATCACTCAATCGAATCCTAAATGCATTCATTTTCTGAAACACACGTAAATTTCAATTTATGAGATTTGGTTAAAGGCCCCATGTAAATTTGAAAATATGTTTTTATCATTCATTCACTATTTTCCATGACAATTATTACAGAGATTCTTTGAAAAAGCCAAAGTAGTTTAACCTTTATATGGGGCTCTTAACGTCTCTTACAACTTATAAACCACCCTGGTATGGCATGACGGTTACGCCACCTCTGAAAACGAGGTTGGACTGCTATGTTCACTGATTTATCCATTAAAATGGCTGCGATGGACTAGAAAGCTAAAGTTGGTGCATTGTTTTCTACTACTGTGCATGGAAGCATAAACGATTAATGTTAGCTTCGCATTCAGTGATGTATTCAGTAACGTATATTTTGAACGTAGTCTTTGCAAATCGATACCCGGGGATAACATGAAAAAGCGAAAAACTGTCGAGTTTCAAAACTACATAGAATTTAATAATTTGTTTATTTTTCTCGTTAAGGCATGGTCTACATTGCCTAACAACCTTGGTGTATATAGATGTAACCTACATGTACATACGCCCATGCATTGGAAACCACCTAATATTAGTCCCTGATCTGATTTCCAAAATGGCTCAAGAAAAGGGGTTTTGTTGTCCGGTACTTTCCCACATAAAATGATTGTACCGTTTGAAAAAACAGGCTTCCCTCATAAAGAAAACACCTCTTATATTGATAGAAACAGGGGCATAAAGCACCAAAATGGGGTTAGACAAGGTGGCATTCTGAAGTCTCATTTTCTTGTCATCATTCCAGGAAAACCACATGATGGATTTACTTCAAATTTTTACACATATTACATGGCAAGAAGTTCTAGAGCTGATTAACTTTCCGATGGCCATCTTGCATTCTGGCGGCCATCTTGGAATTTTTTAGATAAATCTTGTCATCGCGATTCCAGAGAAACTACTTAACAGATGTACTTCAAATTTTCACACATGTTAAATTGTAAAAAGTCCCAGACCTCATTAGTTTTTTTGGTGGCCATCTTGCATTCTGGCGGCCATCTTGGAAGTTTTAAGATAAATCTTGTCATCAGGATTTCAGGAAAACCAAACGGATTTACTTCAAATTCCCA